CACAGTGGCTGCAACAAGGGGCTGAAGCATAGCAGCAGTTGTGAGGATGGCGCAGGACTGGGCAATGTTTCATTCTGTTGTACATGGGGTCACTATGTGTTGGAACTGACTCAATGGCACCTAACAACAACAACATGACAATTTAGGAGGTAGACATTATCCCTTCTTACAAGGGAGGAAACTGAAGTCAGAGAAGTTAGATGATTTTCCGAAGGTTGCACAGCTAGCAGGTAATTAGTGTGAAAACTCAAACCCGTAACTCCTTGCTACTCTACCACTGAAAAAAAGAAGAGCTATCTTGCCAGTGTCACTGGCCCTCTTTCTTATAGCTGCCCCCTTGTCTTAGTCATCTAGTGCTGCTCCAACAGAAATACCACAAGTGGATGGTTTTAACAACGAGAAGTTTATTCTCTCACAGTCCAGTAGGCTACACGTCCAAATTCAGGGCGTCAGCTCCAGGAAAAAGCTTTCTTTCTCTGTCATCTCTGGAGGAAGGTCCTTGTGATGCATCAGTCTTCCTTTGGTCTGGGAGCATCTCAGTGCAGGAACTTCAGGTCCAAAGGACGTGCTCCGCTCCCAGCATTGCTTGCTTAGTGGTATGAGGTTCCTATGTGTCTCTGCTCACTTCTCCCTTTTATATCTCAAAAGAGATTGCATTAAGACACTATCTAATCTTGTAAACCTCATCGGTATAACCTCATCACAGTGATAGAATTTACAACACATGAGGAGATCGCATGTAATCTCATCATAGTGATAGAGTTTACAACACGTAAGGAAATCACATCAGCTTGTACAATCATACAACACTGGGAATCATGACCCAGCCAAGCTGACAGATATTTTTGGGGGACACAACTCAATCCATGACACCCCTACTCAACCAGGCTTTGGTTGAGAGATGGCCAATCTCTGTTCCTATGACCCAGATCTAAATTTCTTCAGGATTAGGATATACCAGCTAACTGTTTCTTTGCTTTGGACTAAAATCACATTAATTCAGGCAATATGGGAACACAGCTGTCTTGTGCTTATCAAATGATCAGATTGGCAGATATATGTCTTTGATTTTTTTTTAATGGGGAAAGCAATTGGTTTAATAAATGCCCTTTGGTAGAAATCATAGGGAAATCATGATAAAGTGACCTTAGGCTGGAGAACCCTGATAGGAAAAGAAATTGAGTTAGTTGTTTATTCTCATGCTGTCTCTAACTGGGACTATATGTATTTTCTTCCTCTTTGTGCCCCCATTCTTTGTAGAACAAACTAGAATCCAAGGAGATGGTGGTACTGAGGTGATTTTGGCTCCCAAATATAGATATACAGATAAAGAAATTAGATAAATCTATAGGTTTGAATTTCTCAACCTTTTTATTTTAACCTAGCCCTTAGTTGAGAATCAGTGTTTCAATGGTACATCCATATGGTAGTAACCATTTGGGGTATGTATGTTGCTAACCTTTCCATATAGAGTCCATCTTACCATGGGTCAAGGTGGATCAGAGGAGCTGAAGTTGCTCCCATACACTTTCTTTATTCTCCCTGAAGAATCTGGGGTCATTTTAGGAGCTGCTGGCTGGGCATTCTCTCCCAGGAATGCTTTTTGTGAGCCTGTGGCTGGCATGGCTAAGTTTGGATCTGTATTGCCTCTCATTTGAACAGTCAAACCCTCGGCTGTTGAGTACAAGAGAGAGAGTAAGATATGTTGCTCTTTGGGGGAAAAGCCAAGTCCTCACTTAGGGTAGAAACAGAGAAACAACAGAAAACCCTAAGATTATGCGTGAAAGTGTTCTTGTTGGGTGGGACACTCTGTACTTTCACCAGCTTCAGTCTCAGGGCCAATGTGCCATTCACAGGCTGTGGAGTGGGGCTTAGACAGCCTGTGCCTCTGAGACCCAACATTATTGCAAATAAGGTCATCTGTTTCTGTTGGTGTTTGCCCAAGCATTTGGGCTGAAATCATTTCCATTCACAGCATAATGATTTATTAGAAGCTGAGGAAAATGTTGAAGGGAAGGCAGGCCTCTTTGATCTGATGTTTTGTGCTGCCAGGGCGAGGGAAGGGTCAAATTTTTGAACAAGTATCAGTGATTAAACTATGGTTGGTTTCCTCTTGAAAAAGAAAAGATGATGGTAAACATGGGGAGGGGAGAGGGAGTAATGAGGATGTGAAAGCAGAATTGTTGTTGTTAGTTGCCATTGAGTCAGCGCCAACTCATGGTGACCTTCTGTACAATGGAACAAAATGTTGCCCGGTCCTACGCCATCTTCATGATTATTGACATGTTTGAGTCCATTGTTGTGTTCACTGTGTATTTTGAGTGCCTTCCAACCCAGGAGGCTCATCTTTTAGCGCTATATCTGATAATATTCTTTTTTTTTTTTTAATTGTGTTTTAGGTGAAAGTTGACAGTGCAAATTAGTTTCTCATTCAAAAATTTATACACAAGTTATTTGGAGACATTGGTTGCAGTCCTCTCAGTGTGTTAGCACTCTCCCCCTTTCCCTTTACACCTCAGGTTCCCCGTGACCATTTGTCCAGTTTTCCTGTCCCTTTCTGCCTTCTTGTCTTTGCTTTCGGTCAGGTGTTGCCCATTTGGTCTCCTATACTTGATTGAACTAAGAAGCACATTCCTCACATGTGTTATTGTTTGTTTTATAGGCCTGTCTATGGCTGAAAGGTGGACTTTGGGAGTAGCTTCAGTTATTAGTTAGCAGGGTGTCCAGGGCCATAGTTTTGGGGGTCCCTCCAGTCTCTGTCAGACCAGTAAGTTTGGTCTTTTTTTGTGAATTTGAATTTTGTTCTACATTCTTCTCCTACTCTGTCAGAGGGTCAGTGGTGGTAGCCAGGTACCATCTATTTCTTTTGGGATCAGGATGGTGGAGGCTGTGGTTCATGTGGTCCATTCATCCTTTGGACCAATGTTTTCCTTACGTCTTCGGTTTTCTTCATTCCCCTTTGCTCTGAACGTGATGGAACCATTTTGGATGGCTACTCACAAGCTTTTAAGAACTCAGATACTACTCACCAAAGTAAGATGTAGAACATTTTCTTTATGAACTATGTTATGCCAGTTGACCTAGATGTCCCCAGAGATATCTGATAATATTCTGTTGTGATCCATAAGGTTTTCGTTGGCTAATTTTCAGAAGTAGATCACCAGGCCTTTCTTCTTAGTCTGTCTTAGTCTGGAAGCTTTGCTGAAACCTGTCCTCAATAGGTGACCCTGCTGTTATTTGAAATACCAGTGACATAGCTTCCAGTATCACAGCAACACACAAGCCACCACAGTATGACAAACTGACAGATGGGTGGTGGAGAGCAGAGTAAGCAGGGCTTTTCATTGGAAGCAAGCAGGCCTATAGTAGACTGTGTGCCAAGGGGGTCCTGTAGTTACTGCTGTTTCAGAACCACCAGGAGAAAAATTAATCCTATTCTGATTAGATAGGATTAGTGTTTATGAGGCTGATTGGGCTGTATGCATAGGCTTGAGTTGAGAGGGTGGCCCACAGTCCTTCCTACTGTACCCAAAGTGGTATAACAGCTGGAATTTAATCTGGGCCTGCTATGGAGGGCCCCTCTGAGAGTGGAAGAGGCTCCCAGCAGAAGGGATGCGCAGTAGATGGGGCACAATACCATGGTCCTGAGGGAGCTAGCTATTTGGAGTAGTCCCCAGCTGGGAAGTGGTCATAGAGTTGTTCTGACTGCAGAAGGGGATAGGTAGGTCCTGGGTAGACCCTAGCCAGAGTCAAGGATAGGCTTACACAGCAGGGAACAGAAAAGGTACTAAATTCAGTCCACCACCCTCATCATTGCCCATAGTATCCACTTAACTTGTGCAGTCCTGCTCTTTCCCTGGGGGAGACAAGCCTGAAAATGGGTGTGCCCTTTGGTGACCCTTGCAGGGATGATGCGATGGCCTTGGGTAGAGCTGGGTTTAAATGTCCTGATTCAGACAGCAGACAGCAGGCTGTAAAAGGTTATCAGTAGGGCAACCATGCAATTTATTGCCTAACCAGGACACTTTTGAGACTGAAAGGGGGCACTAGTGATTATGCCAAGGACAAAAAAGCAGTAAATCAGAACTCTCCTGGGCAAACTGGGGTGTATGATCACCGTAGTTTTCAGGCTATATCTAATACTTACTTGAAGCTAATAAAATGTCATTTACTTGAAGCTGTGATGGTGACCAACTTGCAGGCTTAATTTGCTGTCAAATCCTTAGACAGCTCATTTGAGTTCTGAGAATTCCTTCTAGGTGAACCAGGGCCACCTCCTTGAAGGAGTGAGGCTACTGAGGGCATAGCAGTGTGGTGTTTTCAGAAGGCAGCGCACTGCCTGGCATCCTCAGGCCTGACTGTGACCTTGGCTGAGTGATTTAAATGCTGTGAGCCCAAGGTCATGCTGGCAATGGCCTACATCACAGGGGCTCTTTTTGTTGTTGTTTCTGCAGCATAGTCCAGCAAATACTGACTAACAATCATTTGATTATAATATAGAGAAACTCATTTGGGACATCTTTTTTTTTTTAATTGTACTTTAGGTGAAAGTTTACCGAACAGATAGCTTCTCATTAAACAGTACACATATTGTTTTATGACAATGGTTAACAAACCCACGACATGTCAACACTGTCCCTTCTCAGCCTTGGGTTCCCTATTACCGGCTTTCCTGTCCCCTCCTGCCTTCTAGTCCTTGTCCCTGACAGGGGCTGTTTTTGCTCTGGGATGTTTTATCGTAATCTTTTAGGATGTGATTCCCACCCATTCTTTCTGTCAGAACCCCTGGCTCCCAAGGTGGAGTAAGGCCCCCTCCACTGTGCCAGTTCATAACTCTCTGATAGCATTTGTCACTGTGCAGGGCAATTTATTTCTGTATCTGATTCCTAGGCTAGCAGCTGTTCGAGGACTAGGAGACACCCCCAGTGCTAACTGAGAGTGTTAGTGGAACCGCAGTGATTGACAACACCAAGTTCACCCTGCTTTCTTTGCCGCTACAGGTGGATGGCCAAACCGAAGAGAGTGACATGAACAAACGGAGGCGGAAAGGCTTCAACAACCTGGATGAGGTTAGTGTGCACGGTGTCAGTTTAAACAAAGACCCATTTCCTCACAGCCAGCAGCCACCAGCCTACCTGACCAAGGCAGCATCCCTGGTTCTTCTTTCTTTCCTCTCACTTGTACTGGGTACATGTGCACCCAGCACAGCTTGATGCAAAGACTGTCCTGGGTTCTGGTCCTCACCCCAGCACTTGCTAGCTCTGTCACCTTAAGAAATATAACTTGTCTGGGTGTTTCATGTCTGTGAAATGAGAATAATACTAACTTTGCAAGATTTTTAAAGATTAAATGAGACGATGTATACAGCATGTCAAGCATACTATCTATCACATATGTCAATCAATATATAATTACTATTAATAGAAGTAGTAAAGAGATACCAGCATCCCACTTTTCTCAGTCATTGTCTTTCTGTACCCTTTTGTGTTTTCTGTGCTTTTAGTCTTTAAAGTAAATGTCCCAGTGCCCACAAGTGCCACCTTCTGGTGAAAAAAGAAAATTACAGGCTACTTTGTCAAAACCGATTCCGACTCATAGCAACCCTATAGGACAGAGCAGAACTGCCCCCATAGGGTTTCCAGGGAGCGGCTGGTGGATTCAAACTGCTGACCTTTTGGTTAGCAGCCAAGCTCTTAACCACTGTGCCACTTTATCAAAGCAGAGCACTGATCACTCTCCTGCTTCTGAAAAATTTATCAGGAGAAAAAGAGAGTTCTTGCTTCCCCAGGGCTCTTTTAAAAGAGACCTGAGATATGCACTTTATTCAAAAAGGCCATTCTGATTCCACCAAGGCAAGCATAACTATTGCCAGTAGTCTATTGTAAATCAGCTTTAGCGAACCTACTGGCTGAGTCAACCTTATGACCTACAGGCACTTGGGATGATTTATATAATACATTGATACCTGATTTATAAACTTAAAGAAGAATTTTTCTATCTTATATGGTTAAAGGAGTTTTATTTCTGTAAAATTTTATAACATTGTCCACATCTGTGACCTGTTTGATATCAGTCAGGGATCAGGACACTCCATCTCACAACAGTGAACTTAACACAGAGCCAGAAGGCCCACCTTGGGGAGGGTGCAGCTGCCTCCTACTCACCCCATTTCTAGGATGGCCAAAGAGGAGCACTCATAAATGAAACCTGAAGTTTAGTTTGTCCCTTAAGATGTGAACAAACGCATTTTATTCGGTGAGTTCAAATTACCCTTGTCCAAATGTTTTCTAAAGCTTCTTGGGATGATCCCTGAAGAGCTCTTTCTCCCCCTTCTCTTGACTCTGGCTGTGATGTGGGGCAGAAGCCAGCCAATGGGGAGGTGACTTCAAGGAGGAAGCAGAAGCCGACTAACAGGACTGGAGAAACCTTCCATTTCCCAGGTTACAGGGTGTTGACTTGTGCTTTAGTGCCTGTGATTTGCTCCTGTCTTTTCCCAAGAAGCTTCCTTTAGGTACAATTTGTCTCAGACAAAAGTCTTCTCCTGCCTTTCATCCTTGGTTTATTCTAGTCCTTCCTGTCTCATTGCAGCTTTTATGAGGAGGTGTTTATGGTATTTCTGTTGGTGGCAACATAGGAGTTGGAGTTTAGGAAGAAATCTGGTTTACACCTGGCCCCTTTTGAGATGGCTCTTGACTGTTCTCTGGGGCAACTTTTTTGCTTAAAGCCAGCTTTTACAAAACAATAATTATTTCTAGAGCCTTGCTACTCAAAGTTGGTCCATAAACCAGCAGCATCAGCATTACCTGGGAGCTTGTTAGAAATGGAGATTCTCAGAGTCCATGCCACACCTACTGAATCAGTGTCTGCTTTTGCACGAGATCCCCAGGTGGTTCGTGTGCACATGGAAGTCTGAGAAGCAAGGTCTGAATGACCCACTTTCCTGGCTGACTTGGGTGGTGTACAAAGAGTGACCACTTCTCACTCAAGCCTGTATTGATACGTGGAGTTACATTTCACACTTTGAAGTAGGGGGCGACCCTTTGTGTGTGTTTGTCCAGCACTCCAGAAAGCCTGTACATACAAAGTTTCCCATGGGGCTGCTACTTTAGGGACCTTCTGAAAAGCCCAATGGACTGTAGCTTGCCTCCTTCCATGAATTCCTTCTAAATGAATACATCTTTGTTGTCTTGAGGGCATGTTTTCCATGAAACAATTTGTCTGTCTCCTTGGGAAAGCATACTGCTAACTTGACATGACAGTATCACATATACTTCTGAGGCCTGTGGGAGCAGATCCTGTGGTAAGGGGGGCAGATGCATTGAACATCATTAATTTTTTAATTTTTATTTATTTTTAGAGCAGTTTTAAGTTTACAGAAAAATTGTGCAGGAAGTACAGAGGGTTCCCATATACCCTGCGTCCCCCTGCACACTGTTTCTCTTATTATTAACATCTTGCATTCATGTGGTACATTTGTTATAATTGATGACCAATATTGGTAAATTATTAAAGTCTATAGTTTACATTAATGTTCACTCTTTATGACGTACAGTCTTATGAGTTCTGACAAATTCAAATATTTATTTTTAGCAGATGAGCTAAAGAAATCTTATGTGGAACTCCATTTTATAAAATAGATAACCAAGTGATCAAGGTCAACATCACCAGCCACAAGTCATATTCATATCATGTACTCCTGACATGATGTGATGAAAAGGGTACTTCAGCTTTGTGGCCTCCTTCTCCAAAATCCACATAACCCCACTTTAATCATGAGAAAACATCAGACAAGTCCAAACTGAAGGGCTTTCTACAAAATAACTGACCCAAAAAGAAGTTTCTGTCAAGTCGATGCTGACTCACAGGGACCCTATAGGACAGAGGAGAACTGCGCCATAGGGTTTCCAAGGCTGTAAATCTTTACGGAAGCAGACTGCCACATCTTCCTCCCGTCCAGTAGCTGGTGGGTTCAAACTGCTGACCTTTAGTAGCCAAGTGTTTAACCAATGCGCCACAGGGCTCTTTAAAATAGCTGACAGTACCCTTCAAAAGTGTCAAGGTCACGAAAGACGAGGGAAGTCTGAGACACTGTCACAGACTGGAGGAGACTAAGGAGACAAGATGACTGAGTGCCGTGTGGGAATCCTAGATTGAATCCTGGAACAGAAAAGAGACATTAGTGGAACAACTTGTGAAATCTGAATAAAGTCTATAATTAATGGTATCGTACCACTGTTTGTTTCTTAGTTTTGATAAAGGTGCCATGATTATTCCAGATGCCAGCATTATGAGCAGCTGGGTGAAGGGTATACAGGAACTACCTGTACTATCTTTGCAATTTTTTTGTAAATCTAAAATTATGTCAGAATAACAAGGTTTTAAAAAGATAGCAAAAACAGAACAGTCCAGGTTAAAGTTGCCAGTGGGGTGCAGATGAGGGAGGAGAAGGAATCCCAGATCCTGTTTCTCATCCAATCACTGATTGACACCCCCCACCCCGACCCTGCACCCTTCATCCCACCCACTCTTAACCTCATGGCAGCCGTATGATGTATTTTAATTTTTTTAATAACCTTGTGAAGTGGGTTACTGCTCCCATTTTACAGCTAAGGAAACTTCAGAGAAGTGAAAATGTCAGGATCCAAACCCCAACTGCTTGGCTCCCAAGCTGGGTGTCAGGATCCAAACCCTAACTGCCTGGCACCCAGAAAGATGTATCTCTTTTTTGTGATCATTGTCTCTGTTGGGCAGCACCTGCTGCTTCTGTTTCCCTTCCTCAGACCCCGAAGGGAGTCCTTCTTTAGGAAAGGAGTCCCGTGTCCTGAGTCCCCAACTCCCTCTGTTATCTGGGTTCCACGATCCAACAACAATGCATTGTTTTGACATTTGCAGCCTTCATGCTTTTCCAGTCGAAGCGTGGGCCCCAATCAAGAGTGTGTCAGCATTAAAGAAGGTGGAAATCAGAACAAAGTCAAGTCCATTGCAAATCAGCTGCTGGCTAAGTTTGAGGAGAGCACTCTGAACCCTTCACTCCTGAAGCAGGTGAGTCATGTCAAATGCTCAGTGGACCTGCCTTCCTGGTGACCAGACCTTCTGGGAAGCCAGCAGAAATGTTCAGGCTAGTAGTGAACTTCAGGTATACTAGCCAGGCCTGGTTAAAGAGAAACTCAGGCTATTTCTAATCTCAGTCTACTTCTAGATCAGCTCTGCTGTTGTAGCATGAAAGCAGCCATAGACAATACATAAGCAAATGAGCATGGCTGTGTTCCAATAAAACCTTATTTGCAAAAACAGGCAGCAGGCCAGATTTGGCCCTTGGACCGTAGTTTACCAATGCCCGTTTCTAGATGAGAAGAGAAATCCATTCCCTAATTTGGTTTTGGTTTGCAACTATGAATTGGTTTGCAGTCAACATTGAGACGGTACAGCTTGGGGGAGCTTTTCAGATGCTGGCTATCTGGAGAGTACCATCTAAGCCCTTAGCAAGAAAACCCATTCAAACCAGGGAAAATTAAGTCACCATCTTAGTTCCATATGGGCTACGGGAATTGCACAGCCTCCCAAGTGTTCCCAAGCACCTCCATCTCTCCCTGTATCCTCGAGTCAGTTGGGAGGGCTGCTGTGTCTGTTGGGGATAAGCCTAGTCTGAAGGAGACTGAATGCTGTGGGTCAGGCTGCAGACTAAGTCTGACTTCTCACTGGCTCTGACTTGGAAGTTTGTGCCACATGGCCACTTCGCTTCCTGGAATTTCCTTTGGAATGCTGATGTCACTTGACAAAAGCTTGTGACAAGAGGTTCTGTTTTTCTTTGGAGAGCACCCAGTCATATAACAGAATTAGGCTCCTCAGGAGGAGGTGAGTGAGGTTTAGAGGCATTCGTAAATGTCTTCTTGATCTTTGCTGTGGACCATGTACCTGCTTGGGCTAAGTGACCTCCCCAGGATTCCAAGTGATTGTATTATAAGGGGGCCGTTTCCCTGAGATTTGTAATTCTCTGTGCTATTTCTCCATTGCCCCTTCTGGAGGTTTGGCCCATTTTAGTCCCTAGGTGTTGATATAGGCTTTATACCATCAGAATGTCTGCAGCATCCCTGCCCTCGAGTGGACAGGAAACTTCCTCATTTCCAGAAAGACTCCCTGGCTTGCCACCCTGGCCAGCATGGGCTCTGGCAGTGCCCACTTCATGCCTGTGTCTGAGCCAAAAGCAAGGCTCCCTGGCATTCACACATTGTCCATGAGGTGGGGACTCTAGGACTGGATGTCCACATGGACAGAGAGCCAGGGGCTCAAGTTTCCCAGCTGAACCCAGCTTGTAGGAGCTCAGCCCAGTGTCCACTCTGGACTTGAAAACTCTATTTCCCTGCTTCTCTCTCTCTCCTCCCTCCAAGTGTCTCTCAATCTGACTCACCTTTTCCTTCATGTTTCCTGTGACTGCTTTCTCGGACTCGCCTCTCTCCTCCCAGGAAGGCCGTGTCTCAGGGATAGGTAAGCCCGTCCTGTGCTCTTCCTCTGCCTCTCCTGTTAACCCTCGCTGCCCCAAGCCAAAGGACCCCACACCCAGCCCATCACCTCCTCTGAAGAGGCAGGTAGGGCTTCTCCCAGTGGATGCTGTTACAACAACTTTGTCCCAGAGGGGTGGGGCTCACTGGCTCTCCCTGCATTCCCAAAAGGGCCAATTGTAGATTCTCTGGTCAAGCGACATGACTTGAGGTCACCACTGTGATAAGTAAAAATAACCATGTATGCTCTCCATCCCTCAGCAGTCAGAGGTATTGATTAGCCAACTACCATGTTCTAGGTGCTATGTTTTCTTGGGGAAAAACAAACCATACCACGTGGGACATTTTGTGTGATGCCCCTTATGACACTTAGCTTTATTTGAAGACCACTTGAATAGGCTGATTTATAAACTCTGATGAAAAAATGGCAGTGATGGTGGAACGGGCTCGGGTGGCCAAATGGCTGCACCCCACTGAAGGGGCAAAGCTGGAATGTGATGGAGCCCTCTCCCTGGTGCCAGAGGACACCCACATAGGTTGGCAGAGAGGTTGCCAGTAGCTATAGACTCTGATTTTGTCCAGCCGGCATCTCTGGGTTTGGAATTTGAACAGAATCATTATTACTGAGTACTGTTTTCAAAGACATCTGGTCAGCATTAGGAATTTGGTATTGCTTCTGGCTGGTGGAAGTTGAGTGCGGTATGAATACAATGCAGGGATTCTTATGACTATGCGCATGAGAAGTACCTGGCGAGCTTTTTAAAAAATACCAATAGCTGGTGCCTATGCTCATTGCCATCGAGTAGATTTCAACTCATGGTGACCCCATGTGTTACAGAGCAGAACTGAGCTCCGTAGGGTTTTCTGGGCTGTAATCTTTATAGAAGCAGATCACCAGGCCTTTCTTCTGTGGCCTCTCTGGGTGGGTTCAAACCGCCAAACTTCCCATTAGTAGTTAAGCCAACTTGTAGATTATTAGTCAAGTGATTGTGCCACTCAGGGACCATCTGGTGCCTACCCCAGGTCATTTAAATCAGTATCTCGGGAGCTTGGGTCCAGACTTGCGTATTTTTTAAAAACTGCCCTAGATGGTTTCAATGTACATCCAGAATTGAGAACCACTGTTCTTTAGGTTTTGATTCAGTGGGTCTGGTACAAGACCTAAGAATGTATATTTTTAATGGGAATGGCAGGTGGTCAAAAGTTAACACCTGAGGCTAGTTTGGAATCTCACTCAAGTTGGCACCTGGTGTGCCCTTTGTCTGTGATCTTCGTGGGGATTCCTCACCATTGTGGTCTATGAAAGGGCTGCAGTAGGGAAGGAAGCTTGATTTCCCCTCTTTCCCAGCTCCCATCGGTGGCTGTGCCTGGGTATGTGCGCAGAGAGCTAAAGCAAGTGTCTGCTGGTGGCGAGTGCTCAAGCAGACCCTGGAGAGCCAGGGCCAAGTCAGACCTACAGCTGGGTGGGCCTGAAAGTCCTGCTGCCTGGCCTTCTACCTGCCAGGGAGCACTGGCCCTCTCCGGGGTGCTGCGGCGCCTGCAAGAAGTGGAGGAGAAGATTCTGCAGGTGAAAGACTCCTTCTTTGCCCTTCCTCTGTCTATGTCTGCGATGATTTCCCTTCCTCCCTCTCCCGCTCCCTCCTCTGCCCACGGTGGGTTCCTTCTCTTACTGTTCACTCCGGGTCTCCCATCTTGCTTTGTAGGGTGCGTGAGACAAAACCCCTGAACGCTTCCATCCCTCACCTCTCTCTTGGAGCTAACCATCATGTCTCTTGCTCTCTCTCTCTTCTTTCTCCTATCTCACCTTGACCACAGAAGAGGGCTCAGAACTTGGCCAACAGGGAATTTCACCAAAAGAACATTAAGGAGAAGGCAGCTCACCTTGCATCCATGTTTGGACGTGGGGACTTTCCGCAGGTAAACATGGGCTTTCAGAGCACCCAGGAGCCCAGGTGTTGGACATCCAGCCAGGTGACCGTGGAAGTCTCAGGAGCTTGATTTACCCCTTCCTCCTCCTTTCATAGCATGAGAAGCTATTTGTTTCTCACGCCACTAAAGAATTTGAGCTTGCCTCTAAAAAAGACCCAATGAGAAGATTCAAAATAAGGACAATGGGGAAACCAAGGCAGAAAAGTAAGCTCAAGTCAAAGGAATAGGCTACCATATAGAAATATATGCTATAGGAGCCCAAACAGTTTCTAAGTAGGCTCTGAGCTTCCTAAGGGTCAGTGCAAAGAGGGAAAGCTGCTCAGTTACCAGAATCACAAGCAAACCGGTTGCTCGTGATGTTTTTGGGCACAATGTCTGGAGTAATCTCCCTGTGGCTCTCATCAAGGAGATACTGTATGATGTGGTCAGCCACACGCTGTAACCTGGGCTCTGCTTCCCCAGTAGGCAACATCCAGCTTGGATGAGTGGCTGTGCCTTAGAATAGAAAATACAGCCCTCTCCAAGCCAGTTATTTATTGAAAACTTGCTGAAGAGGGTGACCTTACAAGGAGATAAAAGAGTTTATATTGAGATCCCGCATGTGTAAGATGCCTCCTTGCTTGCGGCAAGCCTTGTCTTTAAAGCAGATCTCCTCTGCTTTTCCACTCAGTCTCCTCCAGACCTGTGTCCTCATTGACGTGGAAGGTTGCTTTACACTGAGTTCATTGTTAGAGTTCACCTGGCTGCTGGAGGCTTGCGCAGTTGTCTGTGGCTGCAGAAGCTCCTGCTCTGGCTATCTGCCTCCGAAGTAGCACAGCTTCTCCTTTCCTAAGCTTTGCAAGTGCTGCTGCATACCACGCTCCAGAGCAAGGGTTTCAGTAATTAGCACTGGTGTCTGGAGCAGTCATAGGCAGAAACAGAATGGATCTGCTCAGCTATTTTGGTGTGACAAAGGAGCTGGAATAGTTGTAAAAGAATAAAGTGTAACCAGGAGCCAGATAGTCCTGCATAGTCCAAAGACAGAGGTTTCTGTTTTGTCCCAAGCCTTGGGTCTAAATGTCTTTCCTCCCTTTCCCGCCCCTCCCAATTGTATGGCATGTGGCTGCATCATCAAGGTGTGTATCGCTGTGCATTTTCCCTGGGATGATAATAATTTCCTCTATTTCTGTTCTGCACAGAATAAACTCTCTAAAGGCCTGTCTCATCCTCATCCTCCGTCTTCTCCCTCTTGCCTTCCATCTTCTGATCCAGCTGTTACTTCCTCTCCATCAACTACTGACTCTGCTTCTCCAGCCAGAAAGGTAGTTGTTCTAAATAATTTGCTCCCCCACCTTCTGCATGTCCTGAGATGTTTTCAGGCTCTGCTCGACCTGCACAGACAAACATCTGGAGCTTGACTTGGCACAGATGAAAGTTTGTAAGGTATCTTACAACAGTCCTGGAATTCGGTTTTGTTTTTGCATTAGCTCAAGCAAGATAGCAGAGCAGGGAACATACAGAAACTTGCCAAACAGTGCTTATTCATTCAGCAGGCATTAATTGGGTTCCCACCATATGCCAATCACTGTGCCAGAAGCCAAGGAAACAATGAGGAGGGTGGTGCAGCTCCTGTATTCACAGTTTAGATGGGAAACAGCACATTGATGTAGATATAAGCAATGTTTTTGCCATATGAAATGGCTGATATTTGATGGGTTTTGACCTACCCAAATGACAATTTCACAAGGTAAACCTAAGGCAATACCATGCATTAGTATCTGTTAGAGGTATAAAGGGAAAGATTGTAGGAACACAGAGGAGAAGCCTGAAAAGGATTCACAGAGGCAGGAATATGGGAGCCAAGTATTGAAGGTTGTACTGGAGGATTTTGCTAGAGAAAGGGTAAGGAAGGGTGTTGCAAGAGGGACTGGCATATGCAAAGGAAGGCAGGCATGACTTGCATGAATTGAATTTGGGGATAAAAATATTTATGAGGATGTGGAGAATGAGAGTGAAAGTGAACCCACTCTGCGTGCTAAGGAATTTCATTTTATCCTCTGGGTTATAGGGAGCCACCAAAGGATCCACTCCATGTTCTAGAAGGATGACTCAGGTAGTAGTGCAGAGGCTGGCTTGGAAGGGGAGACGAGGTGGGGTGCTAACTGTGGTTAAGTAGATCATGAAATGTACCATGAGCAATTGTTAAAGCACCAAGCAGCCCCACGGGATTCTGGCACACTTTTTATTTTTTCCACTTGTCCCCCTGTTACCTAATATGTCAAGAATAGTACCGGGTTGGGGACAGCCTCTGGAAAAGCTTGGTCTCTGGAATGGGTGAGCCTAAAAATGGGTAAGAAGCCAACATGTTTAGCTGTTGCTTGTGGGAATAGGTTTGACATCTCTTCCCTACCCAGGATGCACTTTTCTGAACGTACCCCGTCTGTCTAGTTCCCACTTAGGCTTGATGTACAATGCCAAATGTCACCACATCTGAAATACTGCAGGATTTGCTTCATGCTGTTAGGCTGATGCACAAACCAGCTGTCTGCTGTTGCATAAGTGGAAAATTAGGAGCTGCCTCTTGATGTGTAGCTGGAGTCCCATCCCCATTGACCGCCACCTCTATGGGGAGAAACATGTGGGTAGTATACCCAAGAAAGGAGCAAGGAATCTTATCAGCCCTGCCCCTTCCAAGGTCCCCAGTGTGGGTGAGAGCATCTGTGGAAGGACAGCAGGAAGTGATGTGCAGAAACACAAATACTTCCAGTCTTCACTTCTACTGAAAATAGCCATGGTCGAAATACCCAGCACCTTGTTCCAGCTCAGCCATTGGCCAGCCTTTTGACCTTAAGTCTCTTGACCTTTCTGGGCCTCCATTTTCTCATCAGTAAGATGGAGAGAGTGGTTCCTGGCTGGTCAGCTGTTCCCACACCTTCCTTATCTCTGGCCCACTCCCTCTCTGGCTGGCTGGGCCCTTTGGGTGGAGCAGTGAAGGCTCCCTGTCCTCCCTGCTTTTTTTCCATGCCCACCTTCAGGAAGATCTGGCTTGGTCACTTCTCTGTCAGAGTTGAGGGCAGAGATGGGGCGAGAAAAGCCCCATCTTTTTCAAAACTTCCCAAGTTCCCCAACTTGGTTTCAAGAAAGTGTTAGTTCCTCTATAAATCCCAGGCACAGGCAATGGCAGAAGTCAGCCTGCCCAGGGCATGTGGAGCCTGCTGGGGCTTGGCAAAGACACTTGTCAGTGAGCATCTTGACCTGAAAGCATGGGTACTTCTGCACTGGGCTTTTCAAGCAGCTTTAAACCATTGTCATTCATTAAACCAATGAGTGAACATTGATTCATTCAACAAATATTTATTGAATGTCCTAGGCTCTGGGGATATCCATCAATGAGCAAACGATTGTTCTTCAGAGGCACCTCTGGGTGGACACAAACCCACCAGCATTTTGGTCAGCAGCTGAGCATGTTAACCATTTGCACCACCCAGGAACTCCTTGTATTCTAGTAGGAGTAGATAAACAACCAATAATAAATATAATGTTTTAGAAGATAATATTTCTTACGGAAGACACAGAGCAGTTGTCAGGGATCTGGAGTGCAGGGGGAGGGTGGTGGTTTTAAATGGAGTGGCAGAGTGAGCCTTCCTGAGAAAGTAAGAGTTGAACAGGAGCAGAGCCACAGATAAGGAGATCAAGCCTGGGCAAAGACTGAAGCCCAGGGTTCCTATCTCCCACTCCATTCTTCTTTCCCTGTACAACAAAGGCCAAGTGCACACAAACCCCACACCCAGGGGCAGGGAGGGCTACGAATGAGGCAAGTTTGGGATGGCAGACCCCAGGTCTTCTGGCCACACCTCTGCAGCTTTGTTTCTTGTCTCTCCCAGGTTGTGATAGAACAATCACTCCCTGTTTTTTCTTGTCCTAGCCCCCAAGCCAGCCTAGGCCATCCGATGATGGGGTAATTGAGCTATTTTAACAGCCTCCTACTTATTAATTAAGGCTGATGTGCTTTTCCCAGTAAGGCTCGGTACAATCAGACTGCTATTAGAAGGGGCCACCCTGGGACACTGGGCAAGCCACTTGGTTTCCTGGGCCTTAGTTTCCTCATTTGTTAAAAGGACCTCGGATGGACTTTACGCTTACAGACCCCTCCAGATCTGACTGTGAGTCAGTTGCAGGCATTTGAGATGAGTTTCTTGTTTCAAATAGTCTTAGAAAACCTCCCCCACCCACCACTACCACCATGGAGCTTCTCTATTGATTCAGCACTGGGCTTTGCACATACAGAATCTGGCAGAATGACAGCCTCCTGGGAGGAGAGAACTGCCAGCCCCTTAAAGTAGGTGACGACTTGGTAACAGTTTCACTCAGCCTTGGTAGTGCATGGGGAACCTCTCCCTTGGAGAGAGCCTGGGGCTTTAGTGCTTCTTCCGAAAAGATCTGTGGGCTGCTGTCACTGCCCAGTGACCCAAATTTGCCTAACACAGGAGACCGGAGGAAGAAAACTGCACTTGGAAATGGATGCTCAGGCAATGTGCTTCTGATCCTGCCCTAGAGCTCTAGACCCCAATTCTGAGGATCCACAGGTAAACACCTCCTCTGGGAACAGAGCTGGCCAAACTTATCATGAGGAGCACAGATTACTCTCAGGGATGCAAATGTGAGTCACCAACTCCAAGAGATGAATCTGGAACTCTGCCTATAGACTACACTTGCCTGTCATTTAAGGGAAGGGCAGATTGACATTTTACCTTGTAGTTCTGAATGGTCCTGTTGAGCTTTTGGCCTGAGCAGCCACAGGGAGTCTTAAATGCCCTGACATTTCGGTCCCAGACTCTTCCCAGAGTTGATCATTCAAGGCTTTGGGATCCTTGTCTAGTCTTATGCCCCCAGCCTGCCCATTTGACTCATCCATCCCATCAAACCAGCCTTCCTGTAGTGGTATCAGCCTTCTATTAATCATTAATTATTTTCTTTCTTCAAGAAGGGAGGTTGCTGCTGTTTTGGCCCGTAGCATGGCTGCTAGCCATTTCCAAGGGTGGTGAGCTCTTGCAAGAACAAGATGGCAGCTGAGTGTTTGCACAGCTGAGCAATAGAGTGACTGCCTCACTTGGCTGGCAACTGTAGTTTAGTCTTCTTGGATCAGAACAATGTGCGTTGCAAAAGGAGCTTTCTCTACCCTTGGGGTTGTTTGTTTTAAAACTGGATTTGCAGGGTTTGCTCTAGAGATTTGCATATTAGAGGGAAACACTGGGAGAGTCTTGGCTGAGAGATCTGATTTTGTTTCATCAGGTACAGAGAGAGTTTATGGGATAGATCTCAAGACTTCCCCCCACCTGATTATCCTTCTCTCTGTCCTGGGGATAGAGCTAGGCTGGCCCTTTGGGGGACTTCTGTGTGCATCCCAGCTTGGGAGATGTCTTAGTCATCTAGTGCTACCATAACAGAAATACCACAAGTGGATGATTTTAATGAAGAGAAGTTTATTTCCTCACAGTCAAAGTAGGCTAAAAGTCCAAATTCAGGGCGTCAGCTCCAGGGGAAGTCTTTCTCTGTCGGCCTTCTCATCAGTGTTCCCCCGGAGTAGGAGCTTCTCGGCACAGGGACCCCAGTCCAAAGGATGCGCTCTGCTCCCGGCACTGCTTTCTTGATGGTATGAGGTCCCCCAGTCTCACTGCTAACTTCTGTCTTTTGTATCTCAAGGCATTGCCTCAGGATACAATCCAATCTTGTAGACTGAGTCCTGCCTTACTAACACAACTGCCGCCCATCCTCCCTCATTAACATCATAGAGGCAGGATTTACAATTTATAGGAAAACCACACAATACCAGGAATCATGGCCCAGCCAAACTGATACACACATTTTTGGGGGGACAGAATTCAATCCATTGCATTCCACCCTTTGGCCCCCCAAAATCACATCCTTGCAACATGCAAAACATGTTCATTCCATCAAATCACAGCCAAAGTCTGATCTCTAAATCCAAAATCCAAAAATTCCTCTTCATCTGTGAAATCTAGAATACAAGTTATCTGCTTCTGAAGGTACAATGGCAGAACAGACATAAGCTAGACATTTCCATTACAAATGGGAGAAATTAGAGGAAAAGAAGTGATAACAGGCACCAAGCAAGTCAGCAGAACACATTACATTAGCCCTCAAGGCTTTGAAAATAATCTACACAATAGCCCTGACCTCTAGACTCTAGGTATTGGCCGCAGTCTCCGGATTCTGAGTGGAGGCCCATCGGCCCTGGGCTTCAGCTCTGCCTTACAGGCCCCCTGGGACAGCAACTCTGCTCTCTTGGCTTTAGGCGCACCATTCTCCTAGTTTATCGAAGTGACAACTCCACCCTTAGAAACACCAGAGGTCATGGCTCCACCCTTTGAAACCCCTGAGGTCATGGCCATACCTTTTGAGACTGAGACAGCTTGGCTTCTTGTGTCCCTTGTCTCTTCAGCTTCTGCTTCCTGTGGCCTCTCGGCCCTCGGGCCTCACGCCCACATCTGCCCTGCTGGGGCAAGCGTTCCAAAGCTCTCTAGCTCCACCAGTATAAGTGCCTGGAGGCACCCCACTCCACCAGAAAGCCTTGTGCACACAGACGCTCAGCTCTCTCACTCTGTGGGTCGGCAAGCCTAGCTCCACCAGTAAGTGCCCAGAGGCACCCCACTCTGCCAGGAAGCCTCCTGCACACAGGCACTCAGCTCTCTCGCTCCGTGGGTCGGCTCCAGCGCCATCTCGCACTGGTCTCCTGGTTCTGCTGCTGTTGGTTCTCTGACGCTGCCACTTTTCTGCTGCCGTAGGTTCTCTGCTGCTGCTGGTCCTCTGTCACTGCTGCACGTCTATCGATTCACAGTTTTAAAACCACTTCCACATTTTAGGTATCTGTTAGAGCAGCACTCCACTCTCTCAGAACCAAATTCTGTCTTAGTTATCTAGTGCTGCCATAACAGAAATACCACAAGTGGATGGTTTTAATGAAGAGAAGTTTATTTCCTCACAGTCAAAGTAGGCTAAAAGTCCAAATTCAGGGCATCGGCCCCAGGGGAAGTCTTTCTCTCTCTGTCGGCCTTCTCATCAGTGTTCCCCCAGACTAGGAGCTTCTCGGCACAGGGTCCCCAAGGAGATTTAAATTACAGAGTGCTGGCATGTCTTAGGGAGGCCGGGTCCTGTAGGGAGAAGGATATGGGTTTGGAGTCAGACTTGAGTTGAGAGCACCAGTTATCACTGCACACCCTTGGATGAGTTACTGGACCTCTCAGAGCCTTAGTTTCCTAACCTATAAAATTGAGATGACAACAACTACTCCTGAGGGTGGTTGGAATAATGCAGTGACCAATACATGCGAAAATGCCTGAAGTAGCCAATAAATGTTCTCCTGCCCCAGTGAAGGAGAATTCCAGAAGGAAGCTCATTTACCTAAAATGCATGTTGATTCCTCTCTTTCTAAAGGTAAAGAAACCCCCTTTGGGTTTTCATTCCTGTCCCAGCCACTTAAGAATAGTGCAACTTCAGGTGAGTTAGGGCCTCCCAGAACCTCAGCTACCTGTGGTAAGGTGGATTATAAGACCCACCTCACAGGACTCTGAGGGTTAAATTAACATGATCACCACACAGTGCCTGGCAGAAGGGGACACAAGTCAGCAGATGTGGGCCAACACTGAGAAGTCACAATCCCAAAGGCCAGCGTCTCAGATCTGGGAGTTTAATTTCTGGGCCCCTCAAACAAGATGGTTTCAGTGACTTTCCCTCCTCTTCCTTTGCCCTGAGAATATAGTTGAGGACATAAGTCCAACAGCCCTGTCCTCTGGAGGTCTTCTCATCCAGGGACTCCTTGCTGAGCAAAGTCCTTGCCCAAGCAGGCCCAGGAGACCTCCTCTGGTCTTCAGGTTGGGTGGCGCTTTACCTGTTGAAACCTCCCTTGCACCTCCTCTCCTTCCTGTGGACCCTCAGGTGCCGAGGCTTTAGAAGCTCTGCTCTCATCCCTGTCTGACCCGTGTAGGGTGGCCTGATTCTCACAGCAGGCCAGATGGCCACAGGCCAGATGGCCACAGGTGGCCCAACTCTGTGAAGCAATGCAGCCTGGACACCTGGTATTCTTGGCTGAGTTCCAGGCCCTAGGGGAGAAGTTACCATTGTTTGGACACAAACGGGCCCAGGAGACTGCCTCCTCCTCCATTCAGAGCATCTGCCCTGTGCCAGGAATATAGAGGTGAACATGCCAGGATCTGTGACATCAGGGAGCACAAGCTGCGGGGGAAACGGGCCAGGAATATAGAGGCAAACATGCCAGGATCCCTGACATCAGGGAGCACAAGCTGCAGGGGAGATGGGCCAGGAATATAGAGGTGAACATGACAGGGTCCCTGACATCAGGGAGCACAAACTGCAGGGGAAATGGGCCAGGAATATAGAGGTGAACACAACAGGATCCCTGACATCAGGGAGCACAAGCTGTGGGGGAGGTGGGCCAGCTTAGGGTAGTGTTAGAAATGCTCCAACACCCAGGCAGGACCTTTGAAGTCTTTTGAGCTAAGAGTGACAGGATTGCCTTAGGAACTACTCTCCTTGTGGAGATCCAGTCATCTTCTGCAGCCTCTGGCATCACTGCTTGTGACAGGAGTGGTGTCGTCATGTTTGAATCTAGGTTGGCTCAGGGTGAAGAAGGCAGTGCACTCTTTCTGGGTGGGCCACGCTGTTCTTATTCATGAAGAGAGGGAAGCTAAGCATCTGAGGGTTCCCCAGGGTAAAGGTCACAGGTCTAGGCCAGTGGGCCATTTAAGAGAGGTAAAAAAGATGTCCTGAGATGTAAAAACAGTAGTGGTTTGGACTTATTAACTCTTTGCTTGTGTGACAAGCACCACGTTAGACACAGCCCAGATTCTTTCATGGCTCTTTTTTGCAACCCTATGAGGTTGGTGTTGGTCCTTCCATTTTACAGATGAGGAAACTGAGGCTCACAAAAGGAAAAAATAGTGTATTCAAGGTTAATCTAATGCAATGTGAGATGATGGCCACCCAAAATGTCCAACCATTCTAGCTTGTTCTCATTAATTAGCCGAAAAATAATTAGAATTCAAAAGAGAAAAAAGGTAGGGAGTGGAAAATTCTTCAAAATTGTAAGAATATTGAAAGATACATCCAAAAAAAAAATAAACCAAACCCATTGCTGTTGAGTCAATTCCAACTCATAGCGACCCTATAGGACAGAATAGGACTGCCCCATAGGGTTTCCAAGGAGCAGCCGGTGGATTTGAACTGCTGACTTTTTGGTTAGCAGCTGTAGCTCTTAACCACTGCGCCACCAGGGCTCCAAAAGATACATAAAGGATTGCAAAAGCAGTCCCATGGGGCTCCACAATTACCAATTCTTTTAAAAACTAGTAACTGGGAAATAATTATTTTTGGTCCAATAATCATTTTACCCAACTTCATTTTGTACAAATTGTTCCCAGTCAAATCGTAAGTTCTCCCCGGGAACACATGTGGCTTGTTACTCACATGTGTGAAGGCTCTCTCCTCATTAAGAACCTTTGGCTGTTGCTCTGAGGTTAATTAACACCAGGATGAGTTCTCTGGAACTCTAGCTTAGGACATTTCTCCACAAGTTGAACATCTCTGTCTTTCTCAGGATCCTGAGAACCTGGTAATTCCCCAGCTGGCTAGAGAGGTGCTACTCAAAGCATTGTTCATGGAGAGGTACTAGTCTGTGACACAATGAATACAGAAACTGAGAGTAAGCATTAGAAACTTTTAGAGCAATATGATATTGCTACACATTCAAGCGTGTGATCATATTTCTAGTAATTCATTTTTATTATATCCAGAAGTCTCAGGCCATATGGATTAGAGATTTTGAAAGAAAAAATAAAAAATGGTCTTTCATTTGGCAATTCCTCAAAAAGTTCAATGTAGAATTACCATGTGACACCCCCCTCCCAAATTCCACTTCTAGATATATACCCAAAGAATTGAAATCAGGAATTCAAATACTTGTACACCAGTGTTCATTGCAGCATTATTCACAGTAGCCTAAAGGTAGAAACAACTCAAATGTCCATAAACAGATGAAACCCAAAAAACCAAACCCACTGCCGTCGAGTCATTTCTGGCTCGTAGTGACCCCATAGGGTTTGCAAGGCTGTAAAATCTCTGCAGAAGCAGACTGCCACATTTTTCTCCCGTGGTGCCGCTGATGGTTTCGAACCGCTGGTCTTCCGGTTAGCAGTCGATTGCTTTAACCACTGCGCCACCAGGGCTCCTTAACAAACGAATAGATAATCAAAATGTGGTATATCCAGTCAATGGAATATTATTCAGCCATAAAGATAAATGAAGTTCTGATATATTCTACCACATGGATGAACCTTGAAAACATCATGCTAAGTAAAATAAACCAGACACAAAAGGACAAATAATATATTCTACTTCTATGAACTGTCTAGAATAGGCAAATGCATAGAAAAAAAGTAGATTAGTGGTTTAGGAGATTAGCTGGGGAGAATAGGGAATGGGGAGTTATTACTTAATGGATACAGACTTTCTGTTTGGGTTGATTGAACAGTTTTGGAAATAGTGATGATGGTTGCACAACATTGTGAATATAATTAATGCCACTAAATTGTAAACTTAAATGGTTAAAATGGCAAATTTTATGTTATACATATTTTACCACAATAAAAAAAAATTTTAAAAATGAAAAACCTAGTCGTTCACCACAGTCAGTTTGAGGAGCACAGAGCTCCCAGGAAGTTCAGCTGTTCACGTCCTCACTCCTGTGGAGCCAATGAGGACGTCCTGCTATCAGGAAGCAGAAAGGAGATAACCTCTGATCCCCAGCACAACATTGGCTTTCACACTGGTCGATGGAGTTGGCTTCAAAGACACCCATTATCCCTTGAGACAAATTCCCTATCACCTGGTTTCCTTGTGACCTCTCAGAGAAGTCGCAGTCCACCTCCTGATATTGTCCAGTGATGACTCTGGGATGGTTTCCATCAAGTTGGGAAGACTATGTAGGAGACCCAATGCTGATTTTCTTAATGGTGCATTAATTTCATTTTTCTTAATAAAGTTACTGCCTCAGAATGGGAGTGAGGTTGCAATGGGAGACAGGAGCCCTTTGGCCCATAATGAAAGGGAAGACCAAGTGCAGTCTTCATTCTGGCTCCCCTGGCCAGGTGGCCTGGGCCATGCCCTGTGCTGATAGAACAACTAAGCAGGCTGCAACTGCACAGACATGTTGTGGCGCCACCCCCAGCAATCTCACAGCCCTCTGCGTGCTTCAGTAATTGCTATCTAAGTCAGGACTGCTCAGAAGCTTGGTGGCACAAAGTGCTTATTAGCTAAGTAGTTAATAAGGTCTCATTAGGGACATGTATTTAAAGCCCCAGAGAGTACAGTTAGCAGAGAGTCAATCTCTGCTAACGCAGGGAGGCAATAATTGCACGTGGGTATCATGGCACCACCATGCCCTTCTGGGAGAGCACTGCTGGGACCGTTCACACCCTAGGCCGATGGAGTTAGCCGCCCAAGGGGCAGGGTAGGCAGGGAGCAGCCTTTTCGCAGTACTGTGGGTAACCCTAGGCTCATCTTCCTTCCCTCTTCTTTTTATTTTCAAATAAACATAGGAAGGGCTTTGTATTCTCCAGGCCATGTCTGAGGGGCCATTGTTGGGGGCCTCACTAGGGGGTGGAACATCAGGCAAACAATAGCATATTGTCCGGAGCCAATATACCTGAACCTTTCTTGGAAACTGGAGCCAAGTTTCTTGGCATTTGTGTTGTTGTTGTGTGCTGTCAAGTCAATTCTGACACATAGCGACTCATAGCAATCCTGACAATGGCAGAGCCTGTGCTTGGAGACAGAATCCTAGTCTCTCCCAGGCTGGGCCAACTTGGGGGCTGGATGGGAAGGAGTGCCTGGCCAGCTGCTACTGGGAAGTGGCAGGCTTTGGGAAGTCTGATGAGGTCCCCATATGTCTGCGTCTACAGGGCAGACCCTCCCCAGCAGCCTGTGGCCGCATTTCCTATGATCCCCAAGAGCCACACACATGGTCAGGAGCAGCTGATCCCAAGTTGTTTTTTGTGTTGGGGTTTCCTTAGGGAGACACGGAGTGACGTCTTCTCGGTCTTGTTATTCTCTCCAGCCCACTTGGTGTCCCTTTACCTGCTCATCCTTCTTTAGTGCCTGTGCTTTGCAGGAATCTGACAAGTCAGCCTGTGTTGCTGAGGATGGGAGCTACGGCAAGCCTGTTGCCATTCGCCTTGCTGTTCCCTGAACTTGCTGCTGCGTGTTTGAGGCTTTCTGTTATCAGCTTAGATGTGGCCTTAATGTGACCTTCCAAAAATAGTCTTGGGTTTAGATTGAGGACGTTATTTTGTCCACAAAACCCAACCCACTGCTGCTGAGTCGATTCTGATTGATAACAACCTTATAGGACACAGTAGAACTGCCCTATAGGGTTTCCAAGGCTGTAACCTTTATGGAAGCACGCTGCCACATTTTTCTCCCATGGAGCGGCTAGTGGATTCGAATCACTGACTTTTCAGTTAGCAGCCAAGTGCTTTAATCACTGTGCCAGCAGGGCTCCTTTGTCCACAAACAACTTGCTGTTTTTATTGTCATGATCACTGTCAACTTTTGCCCAGAGGCCCTTCAGCCTAAATTACTGCTGTCTGTGGCCACATCTCCCAGAAGCTGGATTTGGAAGGTGGGAAGAAAGAGAGGGCTCCTGGATCAGGAGTAGTGTTTACAGAATCTCATACTATGCATGTTTGCCTCACCTACGAGGAGACTGCAACATTGCCTAGGTGGGCTTTATAGAGCTGGTGGGGAAAAGAGAAGTAAGCTGGAGTTTGCTCTGAGAGTTGTAGGAGGGATTGGGCCATGCTGCACTTGGGCTTCACCTGCCTCTTGGCAGATAGGTGGGGATCCAGGCATTTAAAGGTGGGAATCACCATGCCGTGGGAGCACAAGCTGCTAGCACCCACCGCCCATTAGGCGGCGCTCCCTGGGCCCATGTGGGATGGCTGCCACCCTCACTGTGAGCTGGCCTGACCCCGCACCAGCCCTGGGCACCTCTGCAGAGCTCCCCCGACCCCTTCATCTGCCCAGTGTGGGCCGGCCACTCGCTCCTGTTCCAGGCACTGCTTTTGTTTGCAAGGCTATGGGTCTGTGGCCCTGGACTGGAGGGACTTGAGGTAGACCCAGACATCACTCCCCAAAGACACAGGAGCTGCAGAGCAGGTGGGGCATGCCGAATTCAGGGGAGAAAGGGAGGGGAGAGTCAATTCCATCTTGACCCAGCCCCTGCTAAATGCCAGGCAGGTGCACACATTTCCTCACTCTGGCCTTACTGCAAATCTATGAGGAACCCAAGCTCGGAAGTTAGAGGCTTTGGGCCAGGTTGCAGAGCTAGTACGTTGACAGAGCTGGGTTCAAACCCTCCCCCAGGTCTTGTGCCAGCCACACTGCTCACTAAGCAGCGTGCTGCCCTCCAAGAAGGACATGTCTCTGAAGGAACCAGTTGCCATCAAGTGGATTCCAACTCATGGCGACCCCATGGGTGTCAGAGTAGAACTGTGTGTGCTCCATAGGGTTTTCAATGGCTGATTTTTCAGAAATAATTCACCAGGCCTTTCTTCAGAGGCGCCTCTGGGTGGACTTGAACTTCCAACCTTTGAGTTAGCAACTGATCACATTAACCATTTTCACCACCCAGGGACTCCCTCTGCAGGAGGCTGGCTGCTAATTTATCCTCCTGTCTGTGAGCTCTTGGTTTCTTATTTCTTTCTCTCCTTTGCTTGACTTCTCTGCCTGTCAGGTTTTTGGAAGACTATGGCTACACAATTTGCAATATAGGCCTTTTTGTTGTTTACTGGCCTGAGCAGCTCAAGCCATCCCAGCCCCCAGTGAGAGCGGCAGTGTGCAGGCTGGAGCTCAGGAGACCTGTGTATAGTTCTGAATCTTGTATTTATTTGCTAAGTGATCTTGAGGAGATCACTTCCTCTCTCTGGGATTCATTTATCCCACCTGTAAAACGAGAGCCTGAATGCGCTCCTGAAGGCCTTGCACCTTTAATGGAGTAGTTCTGCAAGTGACCTGGTTCACCCAGGCCACAGGGTTCCATTCCTTCCTTTTCTCCGTCTCACGAATGCCCATCACCTGCCCTTGGCTGCTGCAACCTCTGCTGGGACTTTGGGTGCTGCTTGCATGTGGGTGTGGAGCCCTCTCCCACACCCATCCTGTCTGTGTTTTCCTTTTGGGTGCTAACTGGCCTCTACCTTTGTTTCTGTCTCTCTGCCTCTGCTCTTGGTTAGCTGACGGTAGGGAAAGTTTCCAGCGGAATAGGGGCTGCAGCTGAAGTCCTGGTCAATCTGTACATGAAAGATCACAGACCTAAGACCCAGGCCGCCTCTCCAGACCTGGTAAGGATGGCGCCCTTCAGCTTCACCCACAGACACTGCCTCTGGCCTCCCAGAGAGGGTGTGCAGGCACACGGACAGGATGCCCAGCCTCGGAGGCTCCCCTTCTTTGTCATGGAACAAGCAGGACAGACAGAGGAGCCCGAGGATGGGAGAACAGAGGTTATTCAGAGGCTGGGTTTCCTTAAGACAAACCTCATTCAGGTCCCTTGGGGTGAGAGCCGTGTAGGCCGTTGCACAAGGCAGAGTATCTTCTCTAAAGCCCGGGGCTCTGGAGAATGGCTCACTGCATTATTGGACATTCTTTGCCTTCATGATTGAGAATTACATAATGGAAAAAACTTCTCTTTTTTTTGAATTCTCCTCTTCTCCAACTTAAGCTGCTTGCTGCCATCGCCAGCGATTTGGGTTGACGATTCTTTCGGTTTCCCTTGAGCACCTTCCCCTATAATCAGCCGTGTGAACCCCTGCCCCAGCCTCTCCCTCCTCACTTGAATTTGGGGATTTGGCTGGCAGACTGACAATACTGGTGGGCTGCAGGACACAACCTCTTCCGTTTTTGCAGTTCTTGTGAACAATTTTGATGCCAGTAGCTCTTCTTGCCCAGCCTGTCACTGCAGGAGGGCAAGGATGTGGAAGACATTCTCAGCAGGGCTTCACTCTGGATCCAGGCAACACTTAACCACTGGGAGCGGTTCCTGGAGAGACGGTCCCTGGGCAGACATGTTTGGAACTGATGCTGCACTGCGTTAGACCAGGACGCATCACTCCCCACCCAAAGCCAGAGCAGCCAGCCTTCGGGGAGAGCCCTCCCTGGCCCACCTTGCTGCCAGCCCGTCTGTCTGGAAGTCCAATTAACAGCAGCCCCTGCAGGGATGCATCTGTGTTGGGAGCATGTCCTCCCAGCCCTCACTCTCTGCTGCAGCAAACTGAAGTTCCACAAGGTCCCCATGATTCAGTATGGAATTTCTGAAAGCCTAGGCTGAGAATTTGAAGAAGAGCATATAGGCCCTAACGCATTGCTCTCCTCTCCCCCTACCCATCAGGATTGTATGCGAAAGGTGTGCCCCCTGAACCTGGGCGGCAGCGACACCTGTTACTTCTGTAAGAAGCGTGTGTACTTGATGGAGCGACTGAGCGCAGAGGGCCACTTCTTCCACCGCGACTGTTTCCGCTGCAGCATCTGTGCCACAACCTTGCGTCTGGCTGCCTATGCCTTCGACTGTGATGAAGGTAATCCTAGGGGCCAGAGTAGTACTTACCTCTGGCCTCGGCCTCTGACACGACCTTGGCCTGGGTTCCTCTTCCTCTGTAGGCCCTGGGATGCCCAGTGCCTCCCAGGGAGTATGGTGTCAGGAGCTGCTAAGGGAAATTAGGAGCTCCTGCTAGAGACAGGGGCTGCCTGTGTAGGCAGGGGCTCCTGAAGGGAAGGAGAAGCTGTCAGTACCTGTGGCAGACCAGGCATTGGTAAGCACCTACTATGTGCTGAGTGCTTTCTGTACATTTTCTTGTGTAGCTTTACCACCTCTCACTGCCCTTGTGTGGCTGAGAAAACTAAACCTGATAACCTATGTAATGGGCTCAGCACCTCAGCAAGCATGTAATAAGAGTTTAATAAAGGTAGCATATTATTATTTTTATTATTTACAAACTATGTACAATTAAAAATAGCCATAATAGTAACTCCCCTCTGATAGGTGACATATTGGAGATCATTGATGAAAGAAGTGCGCTTATGGGAATGAATTATGGTTTTCAAAGTTTCAGGACTTGATATTTGCATTTTCACATATAATGATGGGCAGTGCAGCCTAATGGTTACAATCACATACCTTCAAACTAAACTGCCTGGATTCAAATCCAGACTGTACCACTTACTAGCCATAGAACTTTGAATAAGTTTCTTAACTTCTTGGTCCGTAAGTTTCCTCATCTGTAAAATGAGGATCATAATAGTATTTAGCTTATAATGTTGTTGTAAGGATTGGTGACTTAATTCATGTAAAGCATTTAGAGTAGTGTCTGGTATATAGTGGGTTCTACATAAGTTGTTGCTATTGTTATCATTATTACCATCACTATTGTTGATATTGGAAACCCTGGTGGCATAGTGGTTAAGTGCTACAGCTGCTAACCAACAGGTTGGCAGTTCGAATCCACCAGGTGCTCCTTGGAAACTCTATGGGGCAGTTCTACTCTGTCCTATGTGGTTGCTATGAGTCGGAATCAACTTGACAGCAATGCGTTTGGTTTGGTTTTATTGTTGATATTATAACCATGAGCAAGAAGGCTTCTCTGGAGGGTACCCAGTGGTCCTGGAAAGTGGCCAGGTACCCCGTGTGTGCCCCTCTGGACCTTTCCTCCCCATCACTGCTGCCATCTGTTGTCAGCCTTTCCCAGCCTCACGATCCCAGAAAGGGATTGTATTGCTGCTCAGGGCTGTCCATTTGGCTGCCTGGCAACTGGACTCATAAAGAAGCGTGACCTCAGTTTAGTTTGGGGATTATCTGAGGATTTTAGCCCTATCCCAGGAGTCTACTGCTACGTCTCAGTGCCACTTCTTTAAGGCAGGTGACAGAAACCATTTCCCAAGGTTGAAACTGTCCTGAGCTTATTTTCTGATCCAGAGAGTAGTTGTCACCTGGCTTATGTGTGCTGTGCCTCTGGTTTATAGGAGAAAAATCTTTTGTGTATGGGTGTCTTTCTCTTTTTACAGACAAATTTTACTGCAAACCTCATTTCATTCACTGTAAAACCAATAATAAACAACGGAAGAGAAGGGCAGAGTTGAAGCAACAAAGAGAGGTACGTTTTGTGTCAAAAGTGTTGGTGAATCAGGGAAAAGGTTTTCAAGGGTCCCTCAAAAAACTAGGCCAAAATTTTTTGGCTACGATATATCCAACAAGGGTCTAATCTCTAAAATCTATAGAATACTTCAATACCTCAATAACAAAAAGATAAATAATCCAATTAAAAATGGGCAAAGGATATGGACAAGCACTTCACCAAAGAAGACATTCCGGCGGCTGACAGACACGTGAGGAAATGCTTGTGATCATTAGTGGTTAAAGGAATGCAAATCAAAACTACATTAAGATGCCATCTCACCCTGACATTACTGGCACTAATCAAAAAAACAGAAAATAACAAATATTGAAGAAGTTGCTAGAAGATTGGAACTCTTATGCACTACTGGTGAGAATGTAAAATGGTACAACCACTATGGAAAACGGTATGGCACCTCCTTAAAAAGCTAGAAATAGAAACACTATATGATCCAGCAGTCCGACTACTAGGAATATATCCTAGAGAAATAAGAGCTGTCACATGAATAGACATATGCACACCCATGTTCTTTGCAGCGTTATTCACAATAGCAAAAAGGTGGAAACAACCTAAGTGCCCATCAACAGACGAGTAGATAAATTATGGTGCATACACACAATGGAATACTACACAACAATAAAGAACAATGATGAATTTGCAAAACATCTCAAAACATGGATGAATCTAGAGGGCATTATGCTGAGTGAAATAAGTCAGCCATAAAAGGACAAATATTGTATGAGACTGCTATTATAAAAACTCAAGAAAATGTTTACACACAGAAAAACTATCATCAAAAACAACCTTTGGTGGTTACAAGAGAGGGAGGGGTGGGGAGGGGAAATCACTAACTAGATAGTAGACAAGTGTTAACTTTGGTGAAAGGAAAGACAACACACAATATAGGAAAAGTCAGCACAACTTGACCAAGGCAAAGCCATAAAAGCTTCCTAGACACATCCAAACACTTTGAGGGACCAAGTTACTGGGGCTGAGGGCTGGGGATAGTGGTCTCAGGGGACATCTAGGTCAATTGGCGTAACATAGTTCATTAAAAAAAAAAGTTCTGCATACTAGTTTTGTGAACAACATCTGAGGTCTTAAAAGCTTGTGAGCAGCCATCTAAAATACATCTATTGGTCCCATCACATTCAGAGCAAAGAAGAATGAAGAAAACCAAAGATGCAAGGAAAATATCAGTCCAAAGGACTAGTAGACCACATGAACCAAAGGCTCCACCCTACTGGGCCCAGAAGAAATAGATGGTGCCCGGGTACCACTACTCACTGCTCTGACAAGGATCACAATAGAGAGTTCTGGACAGAGTGGGAGAAAAATGTAGAACAAAATTCAAATTCACAAAAAAAGACCAGACTTGCTGGTCTGACAGAAATTGGAAGGACCCCCAAAACTATGGCCCCAGGACACCCTGCTAACTCAGAACTGAAGCCACTCCTGAAGTTCACCTTTTAGCCAAAGATTAGACAAACCTATAAAACAAAAAATAACACAGATGAGGAACATGCTTCTTAGTTCAATCAAATATAGGAGACCAAATGGGCAACACCTGCCCAAAAACAAAGCTGAGAAGGCAGGAAGATACAGGAAACCTGAACAAATGGACCTGGAAAAGCTGGGGTGTGAAGGGAAAAGGGGAGAGTGCTGACACATTGCGGGAATTGCAACAAATGGCACCAAACAATTTGCGTATAAATTTTTGAAAGAGAAACTAATTTGCACTATATAAACTTTCACCTAAAACACAAATAAAAAAAAAAAATAGGCCAATTTTTTCGGCCCTGGAGGGACTGAGACAGAGATAAAGAAGAGAGCTTCTGCTGCCTGATGTGGATGGTTCCTTTACCTTAGTCTATTCAGTTGACCTCTGGTGTTTGTCCCATTCCAGATGCCAGCTCCCAGGTGAGTGGTTATGCTGGTTTCTTATGAGAAGGTGAGAAGAGCTTTCCCATGTGCCAGAGATAGAACAATAGCCTCAGCCGCATGAAAGCCATGTGGCACCTCTGTGGCTAGGACCCACCTGACCACAAGAATGCCTGTTACGGGGTTCCAGGTCCTCTCCCCAGGCTTTGGGTGTCAGCAAAGGGAGCAGCCCACTGACTTTATAGATAACCTGTGATAGTGCCCCCTCTGACACCTCTAGCAAATTCCCTTCTCTGCTGCTTGATTGATTATCCACCACCTGCAAGAACCCACAACTTAAAACATTTTTTTGATTATACAGTAATATAGGCTCAATGTAGAAAAAATGGGAAAACAAATGAAAATATATAAAGAAGGCAGCTTGAATCACCTATAATCACTTTATCCTGCGAAATGCATAATTAGCATTTCATAGCATTTCCTTCCAGACTTTTTCCTATGAGAATATATCTTCAACCTAGTTTGAATCCTCTGATATCTACAGTCTTATGTCTTTTTTTTTCCACCAACAGTCTATCAAGAGGAGCTTCCAAGACGTTAAAAATTCTATTAGAGCATAATTTTTAATGCCTCTAAAAGATTCTCCTTCATAGATGAGTGATAATTTATTTAACTACTCCTGTATTGTTAAACCTTTATGTTGTTCAATATTTTTAGCTTATAAGTATTTCTTGCAACAAACATCTTCATACTCACATCTTTATCCATCTTTCAAATAATTTACTTAGGATATATCATTAGAGTGGGATTGCTGGGTCATCAGGAAGGCATGTTTTGAAGGCTCGTGAGCCCTATAGTCAGTTTGCCCACCATAGAAGTTGTGACCTCAGCAGCGAATGGGAGGCTGAGATTGTTTGGGGGGTTGGCTGCAAAACACAGAGTCTACCAAGTTCAATTTTTCTTGGCCCTCTTAGTCAGCTTTGTTGGAGGAGCCCTCTGTGTCAATCATGGACTAAATGCCTTCATTGTGATTTCCTTCTCAGGAGGAGGAGACGTGGAAAGAGCAGGAAGCTCCTCGTCGAGACACTCCCACCGAAAGTTCTTGTGCAGCCGTAGCCATTGGCACCCCCGAAGGCAGCCCCCCAGGTATCACAACTTCCTTCTTTAGGAATGTGCTAAGCCAGCTTCTCAGGGTGCCCAGGGACCTGCTTGACATTCCCTCGAGCCTCCTTAACTGGATGCGGGGTCTCCTGCGCCGCGCTGGCCTCCATATCAGGGACAATGCTTACAACTACTGCTACACATACGAGCTCCTGAGCCTTGGGCTGCCACTCCTCTGGGTGTTCTCTGAGGTCCTGGCCACCATGTACCAGGAGGCTGAGGTTTCCCTCGAGAGCATCCGCAACTCCCTGCTCAGGTGCTTCCCAGTCAAGCTTCACTGAAGCATCGGGCCTGCCCCAGAGTGCCTTAACATTTCCAGGGTTGAGATGGCAATGTGTTAGTAGTTTTCTAAAGCTTCTGGCATGGAAACCTAGCATTTTGTAGCCAGTTAGCGCAAAGCCAAAGAGGTTCACATTGTCACCTCTGCCTAGCCTTGTCAGAGTGAGCATCTGCTCATGGGGCTAGGACCAGGGCCAACATGAAGGATGTTTTCTATAGCTTTGTACTTTTTTATACCAAAACGAGCCATATTTCTGGGTTTACATTTCAATTTTTAACTTTTAATAAGCCAAGAAAAAATGTGTTTTTTCTAGGTCAATCTTTCTAAACACGGGTTTGAAATTTGTAACTGGTATTACATACCCCTTCAACGTGGCCATGAGTTGTGATAGTCACTGAGTGCAAAGTTAATGCTTTGGGGTTTTATATATTTAAAAAAAAAGTGAATGTGCCATCTCTGACAAGTGCCTTTAAATGTATGTACCTGGATGTCACTTGTCAACAGGGGGCAAATTTTGCAGCACAAACGTTTTATTAGAAGAAGAGAGTAGAAGGACAGAGTAGAATTGAACCTAAAAAGCACGTGCTGTCATCTGTCCTCTCAGAAGGAGGAGGATTGTTTTGCTCCCTTGTTTTGATATAAAATAATAGCTTAATGGATTGTTTTTTAATACCAAATCACAGCCAAATGTCATAGAACCACAGGGTTTGAACCAGATTGCTACAAACATACGTTTTTCCTTCTCACTAATGAGCATTGCAGTGAAAGCCCATGGGCTCTTGATCACCGGAAGCTCCGTCAAACTGATGCAATGCTGAAGAGGATCTAGGTCAGCTGGTGGCATTTTAGACCCTGGGCTCCGCGTCAGGTCCCCAGCCCTGGCTGCAGGCTGAGCCAAGGCCACTCAGGGTCCATAATGGTCAGACTGCGCAGGAGGATCTGCCCTCTCCCACCTCGTCCTTTATGACTAAGGGTGTTTGTTAGCACTTCAGGGAAGTGTGGCCTGCCCAGTGAGCATTGCCACAAACATCCTGGCTCCTGGGCCACTCGACTGCCATAAATATTTGTTCAAAACAGAAACCATTTTACCCTGCGCTAGAATAGGCACATATCTGACCTCCAGGGGGCAGCCTCACCATGTCTTAACTTACAGGGGAGGCTGGGAGTTGAAGCTGTTTATTGACTGATTCAAAGGAAAAATGCCATATTAAGGGCAAAATCTGGCATTGGGCCTACCAGCATTCTTCACTCTGAGCATCTAGGAAGGTTCTCAACTCTCCCCACTCTGCCTGAATATGCCCAGCTGTAGGGTCGGGATGAATAATAGCAAGGTTGATAAGAAAGCCCTCTACAGCCCTCAGTGTATCCAGAGTTGCTGAGCCCAAGGTAGCTCCATGCAGCTGTTATCACTTGAGGTTTCCTCTGGCATCAGTGAGAGCGGAGCCTGGTGTGCATTTGGAGCCACAGCTCCTGAGAGCTTTCAGAGGGTGAGTTTCCTTAGGGTAGAACGAAGGAGGGGACATTTCTGCACTTTGCTGAAGACTTTGGGAAAAACAGGCTGGCTGTGTTCAAGTTGGTGGGAACTGGTGCCTCTGGCCTCATTGGAACTGTTCTCAGTCTGATGACTTGCATTGTGTTTTTGCCCAGTTTTTGCTGGGCTTTTCACATCCAGTGTGGTGGGGGAGCCCTGGTCTCATTTTATGTTTGATTATAGAATGTAAACTCGAGGTCATGATGTTAACACACGCACCCCTCATCGTGATTGTTATTACCATCAGCTCAGGATGGGCTGAAATGCTTTGTGGAATGTTCCATGAAGCCAGAGTTAGAATCTCTCAGAATATCATGTATGTCCAAGACGAGACTGGTTTGCATTACTATGGTGGGATGGGGTGTTCCTGTCGGAATCCTGAGATGTTTGTATGCTCCGAGACCTCGAACCTTCCTGGTGGGCAGCACCAAAACACAAGGGTGAGTCCCTGGGGCTGAACCTCTGTACGCTTCCATAACATATTCAAGAATGAATTTGAGACATTAGGGTAAAATTGGGGCAAAGGGGATATTGGGGACAGGGTGTTCTGAGGGTGCTTACAGCTCTGAGTGGAGGAGACTGAATTGTTAGCATATGCAAGCTACATGGCTTACTCTTGTCAATAAGTAGCTGTCACTACCAGAAAGGTTCATCTCTCTTAAGCAAGCAGTAACTTGTTTGGGGACGTTTCCTGTTTTTTAATGGTTACTTTATTTTCAACTCCTGTGCCTTCCCATGTTGTCAGCCATTTCTTTTTTTCTCCCAGCCTAAGTTCTCTCCTCTGTCTTTCTCTCTCTTTCCAACCTTACACTGTGGCTGTCAGTTCGTTTCAGCCTTCCAGTGCTGCACCCACTTTTTGGCTGACATACTTCTGCCCTGAGGTAACTGGTTTCTTTGCCAATTTGCAGAGAGTGTTATTAACCCCTGACCTGCTTTCGGCACCCCCGTCCTCCCCCGTCGCCGGTGGTACTGGTTGCGCTAACTGTGAGTGTCTTGCATACTAATGGACTCATTTGGTGGCATGGTCATCTAACAACATGGGTGGTGTTCAGCTTGAAAGCCGTTTCTGATTCCTTCTCCCTCTGAGCCGGCATCCCCCATCCACACCTCAAGTGCATGGCTGCCCCTTCTTTGTTCTCCGGGCTGCCTGCATGCTTTCTAGTTGCCTTTATGAAGCCATTTACTTTCTTGGGAGGGTTAACTCTGCCTAATTGTGAGACAGTTCCAAAGAAAGGGATCTGTCACTTTTAAAGGTACACTGCAGACTAGAGACCTCTGAAAAAGCACACTCATACACCATCTTCTTAAATTGGTTCTAACAAAGATTACTAATCAAAACTGTAGGTGATTCTTTTGGGAGGGATTTAGAAAAGAAAGAAGAAGAAAAGGTATTACGAGGCTTCATCCCAAGCTTGACCCGTGCTCTGTGTTTTGAATACATCCTCACAATTATTCTGGCAAGTCCTTTCTCTGCTGCAAACTATTCTATAGATCCAAGAGTTTTGCTGTGACTCTTTTCATCTCCCTTGACTCATAAAGACCCAGGTGACGGTGAAGCTTCATTTACAGCAGTCATCCTCACAGGGAAGGCATGTCATTAAGAAATGAGGCAGTTCAGCCACAGACCTGAAGTGGCCAATTTAAATGCCCCTGTAGCCCTGCTCAAGAGACATTTTCCCACTGACTCCTTTACCTAGAGCAGCAGAACCACCAAAGTGCTCTTAAAGAGAAACAACACCCCATGTACAATGGAGCTGTTGTAGGCCAGGCCTCGAGGTCTCAGGCTGCAGTTGGTGTTTGTCCTGCATGTGACCCCGAGCCATCCTGTCCTCTCGACCTGGCTGCATAGCCCTGCATGCTTCATCCCTTGCTGCGTTGGTGCAGATCCTGGCCAGTAAGAGGTCGTTGCTCTTGTCTTATCTTTTCTTGCAGAGTTTCCTCCTTCCCTTTATAGAATGTCAACCAAAGACTGTCCTCCTCCCTTCTCAGCCTCCTCTTTAACTAGACTCCCTATCTCATCGCAACGCATGTGTGTGACCTCTGGTTATCATTTACAGTGCCACACAGAACCCTGTATTTTGCACACAGCAAACAATGTGTAGCTTTATTTATGGTATTTGATGCTGTAAATGAAAATAAATATGGTTCTTTATAAAGCTCATTGTTTCCTCTCTTCTTTGCCATGGAAGCTTCTAAAACCTCAAACCCAGGGATTGGTTTAGGGGATCAGTCTTCCCTAAACTGCTGGCAGGACTTGCACTTGTGGTGACATGGGACTCTCTGGGGCTATGCTGGGGCACTTTGGAAAAAAAATATTACCCAGGGGTAATATTTGGAAAATGTCACCAATGCTCCTGGGCCAGGCTTTGTGGTTTCTTTCTTGAAAGCTCATTGCACTTTCCTGCTCTAGATGCAGGGCATAGCTGGGTGAAGGTCAGTGTCACCTCAGCTTTAGGAACAGAATGTATTGACAGCTACTTGCACCCATGTCTCCCTACGCATCCCAAGCCATGGACCTATAGGAAAGCTTTACTATGAACCTTACACTAATTGAGGTTCCTAGACAGCAAAGGTTGCTCTTGAAAATTTTATGCTGGACAAGCTGAGTGATGGGTAAAAGGTAAGGAAGAGAGACTGGACATTTGTTTCTGGATTCTATGAACAAGGTGTATGTGCTCTTCCAGATGGAGAGCCATTTGAGATCCTAAGAGACCCCTTGCCCCCAACACACACACACACACAAAGGTTTAGGCCATTCAGTGTCTTATGCTGTGAGGCTTGCCCATAGGGCCACTCTGAGTACAGCACCTCTGGCAGGCTCCAGCCCAACTCCAGGAAGTGTTTAAGGAAAGGATTTGGAGTCTCACTTGGCTAGCCTGGGCTGTGCCAAAGAAGTCTGTTTTTTCCTGCACTGGTCCTCAACCTCCCTACAGCAAGATGCCTGCCATTGTCAGGCTGGATGTAGCTGAGCTTCTGACACTGGTATGACAAGTCACCTGTAAGCTTCTTGAGGACGCTCGGACTTCCAAAGAGGCATTTCTGTGGTCCTGGGCCTCTGAGCCCAGCTGCTGGCACCTGGATCTGCCTTCAGAGCTGCCTAAGGTCAAGGATCCTGTACTCTTACCCAGGTGTACTTATTCCCTTCCCAGCAAGGAAGAGTATCAGGGACTAGAAGTGAAGAGCTGGGTTGAGCAAATGACTTATTCATTCATTTATTCAACAAATATTTGAATTATTATTTAAACATTACTGTAAATACTAGGAATAAAGCTGCCAACCAGACAGAGTCCCTATCCCTCCTTGTATCTTGGAGAGTATCTATCTCAGTGTTGCTGTGCTAAACCTGATTTGGTTTTTTTTTTGTTCATTTGTACATGCACTCATTTGTTCATTCATTCAACTAATATTTACTGAGTGTCTGCTCTGAGCTGAGTATACAGCAGGGAACAAAATAGACAAAATCCCCACCTCATGGAGCTTTTATTTTGGTTTTGATTTTTTTATTTGAAGTTGGATTAAAGCAACATTTTCCAAAGTGTGTCAATGGAACACTAGCCTCAAGAGGTGCTTCATGAATAACATGAATAAAAGGTTCCATAGTCACAAAGTTTGAGAAATGTTTTATACTAACCTTGCCAATTCTTCCCAAACTTTGGAAAAGATTAACAAAATCCATTAGTGTGTTGAAACCTCTGAGGAGTTTTCTAATAAAGAAGCTTAATTAACTTTGTTAAAATCAGCTTTCCCATACCTATTTGAAGTTGAATTTTTTTTTTCTTTTGCATATTACATTCTATACAAACAGTGTTTAGTAAACTATTCTTTTTTCCAAAAACACTAGATTAAAGACTTAAAATAATATAATTAAAAATTTACTAGATAATGGGGTAATAACTTTTTAAGTTTTAAGACCTATAACAGAAAAAAAATCACATAGAAAAACATGACATAAGTCTGACTATATATTTTTAAACTTATGGTAATAATAAAAGTGAAAATAAATAGGCAATCAGACTGGGGGGAAATCTGCATTAAATGTGATAACAAAGAAGTTTATTGCTATGATATTTTAAAAGTTTATTCACATCAGATGTCCCCAAGCACCTGGCACAATGTAAGTGATCGTTAGTATTTGTCAATTAAAAATCCAGTGATAAATAGACAAAGGCTATAAATAAATGAGTCACATTCAAGCAAATTTAAAAAGTAAACTGTACGAGTGACACTACAGAAAATGGTAGAGTAGGAAGCTGCAGGTGTCAGTCCCTCCACCAAAACAACCATGGAACTGGAAAAAGAAATATCAGAATCGCCTATTTCAGAACTCTGGAATCTGATCAGACATTTACAGCAACCAGGGGAGTGCTTGATGAGGGGAGAGGCTGCTGCAATTTGGTCAGAGAGCAGCATGCATGAACAAGCTACCATCCCCCATTCCTCCCTGCTGTGGCCATGAGGATGGTGGCCCACGTTCCTGAAGCATCTGGCTGGTACCAGGGAGGGAAATAAGGACCTTGCCCTAAAACAATTGAGGATGTGTGTTTTGGTCAATCTGGCAATTCCCTTAGGGACTAGCACAGATCTTCACTTTGTTTTGGAAACCCTGGACTGCAGTGGTTTCCCTGGCAGCAGCTATTGGAAGATTTAAGAGACAGGCCCTTTGTTGTTGTTGTTTGTTTTGTTTTTGATCCAGACATTTAAGGGAATCTCTGTCAAGTCACTAGTTGTCCACAGAGACAACAAAGCATAAACTTCAGTGATCACACACAACAAGGAGTACAGACTGCAAAAATAGTCTATAAAGTCACTAAACAACCAAACAACTATAGCCCTAGCAAGCAAAACTCAACAATTCCTAATGAAGGGAAGAATCTGATTTCCAGAGGTACCACATCATAGTACTCAAAATCTCAAGTTCTCAACAAAAAAATTTCAAAGCATTCAAAGAAAGAGGAAAGTATAGCCCATTCACAGGAAAAAATGAATTTTACAGAAACCATCTCTGAGGAAACCCAGACATTGAAATTACTAGCCAAAAGGCATTAAATTAATGTCTTAAATATGCTCAATGAGCTAAAGGAAATCATGGAAAAAGAACTAAAGGAAATCAGGAGAACAATGTATGAACAAATATGTCAACAAAGAGATAGTGATTACAAAAAGTAACCAAATAAAAATTGTAGAGATGAAAAGTACAGTAGCTGAAATGAAAAAATTGCTAGAGATGTTCAATGGCAGAAGTAGGCAGAGGAAACAATCATCAGACTTGAAGATAAGGCAATAGAAATTATCCAGTCTAAGGAGCAGAAAGAAAAAAAGAGTGAAGAAAAATGAACATAGCCTAAGAGTACCATGGGACATCATCAAGCATACCAACATACATATCATTGACGTCTCAGAAGGAGAAGGAAGATAAAAAAGAGCCAGAACAAATATTTGAAGAAACAATGGCCAAAACTTCCCAAATTTGATGAAAGGCATAAATGTATATATCCAAGAATCTTGACAAACCCTAGGCAGGGTAAACTCAGAGATCACACCAACATACATTATAGTCAAATTGTCAAAGGCCACAGATAAAGAATCTTGAAAGCGGCAAAAGAGAAATGACTCATCACATACAAAAGATCCTCAATAAGATTGACAGATGATTTCTTATCAGAATCAATGGAGGCCAGAAGGCAGTGGGATGACATATTTTAAGTCCTCCAAGGAAAAGCAAAAACAAAAACAGCTATCAGCCAAGAATTCTATATCCAGCGAAACTTTTCTTCAGTAATTAAAGAGAAATTAAGACATTCCAGATAAACAGTAGCTGAGAGAGTTTGTTACTAGTAGACCTCCCCTACAAGAAATGTGTTTTCAAGGTTCATCCATGTTGTGGCATGTAACAAAAATTCATTCCTTTTTATAGCTGAATAATATTCCATTATATGAATATACCACACTTTGTTGATCCATTCATCTGTTAATGGACACTTGGGTTATTTCCATCCTTTTACTATCGTGAATAATGCTGCTATGAACATGAGTGTACAAGTATCTGTTTGAGTCCCTGTTTTCATTCTTTTGAGTATATATTTAGAAGTACAATTGCTGGGTCATATGGGAATTCTCTGCTTAACTTTTTGAGGAACTGCTAAATTGTTTTCCATGGCAGCTGCACCATTATACATTCCCACCAGCAACGTATGAGGGTTCCACTTTCTCCACATCCTGCCAACGCTTGCTAGGTTGGTTGAAAATTCAAAAAATATGTAGAAATTTATATACACTTTAACAACCAGTAGGCCAAAGAAGAAATCACAAGGGAAATAGAAAATACCTTGAGATAAATGAAAAGGAAACCACAACATACCCAAACTTATAGCATACAGTAAAAGTAGTGCTAAGAGGGAAATGTGCAGCCTTAAATATGTACATTCAAAAATAAGAAATATCTCAAGTCAATAACCTAATTTTATACCTTGAGGAACTAGAAGAAGAGCAAAAGAGCAAACTAAACCCAAAGTTAGCAGATGGAAGGAAATAATAAAAATTACAATGGAGAAAACTGCAATAAAGAATAGAAAAACAGTAGAGATATTAATAAAACCAAAAGTTGGTTCTTTGAAAAGATAAACAAAATTGACAATACTTTAGCTAGATTGACTAAGAAAAAAAGAAAGATACAAATAACTGAAATCAGAAATGAAAGCTGGGACATTACTATCAATTTACAGAAATACAAAGAATTATAAGAGTGTCCAATATATCCAGATTGGATAACCTAGATGAAATGGACAAATTCCCAGGCACACACAAACTACCAAACTGACTGAAGGAAAAATAGGAAGTGTGAACAGGCCTGTAACAAGTACAGATTCCATGTAATCCCTAACACAATTACAATAATGTTTTTCTGCAGAAATAAAAAACTCCATACTAAAAATCATATGGAATTTGAAGGAACCTTGAATAACCAAAATGCTTTTGAAAAGGAACAAAGTTGGAGGACTCACACTTGCTGATTTCAAAACCTGCTGCAGAGCTATGGTAATCAAAACAGTGAGGTACTGGCATAAGAGACATATGGACCAATGAAATAGAACAGAGGTCCCAGAAAGAAACCCTCACATACAAGATCAGTTGATTTTTGACAGGGTTGCCAAGACCATTCAGTGGCGGAAAGAACAGTTTCTTCAACAAATGGTTCTGGGAAATTTTGATGTCCACATGCAAAAGAATGACGTTGGACTCTTAAACCATGTATACAAAAAATAACCTCAAAATGGATTAAAGACCTAAATTTAAAACCTAAAACTAGAAAACTCTTAGAACACATAAGGTCAAATATACATGATCAAATATGACACCAAAACATAAGTAACAAAAGAAAATAATAGATAATTGGAGTTCATCAAAACAAAAACTTGTGCATCAAAGGACACTATCAAGAGAATGAAAAGACAATCCACAGAATGGGAGAAAATATTTGCAAATTATATATCTGAGTTTAATTTCCAGAATATATAATGAACTCTTACAACTCAACAACAAAAAGACAACCAACCTAGCAAGCGTTGGCAGGATGTGGAGAAAGTGGAACCCTCATACGTTGCTGGTGGGAATGTATAATGGTGCAGCTGCCATGGAAAACAATTTAGCAGTTCCTCAAAAAGTTAAGCAGAGAATTCCCATATGACCCAGCAATTGTACTTCTAAATATATACTCAAAAGAATGAAAACAGGGACTCAAACAGATACTTGTACACTCATGTTCATAGCAGCATTATTCACGATAGTAAAAGGATGGAAATAACCCAAGTGTCCATTAACAGATGAATGGATCAACAAAGTGTGGTATATTCATATAATGGAATATTATTCAGCTATAAAAAGGAATGAATTTTTGTTACATGCCACAACATGGATGAACCTTGAAAACACTAACTGAAATAAGCCAGACACAAAAGGACAGATATTGTATGATTCCACTTACATGAAATATCTAGAATAGGCAGATTCCTAAAGACAGAAAGTAGATGAGAGGTTACCAGGGGTTGAGGGAAGGGAGGAAAGAGGAATTATTGCTAATATGTACAGAGTTTCTGTTTGGGTTGTGAAAAAGTTCTGGAAATAGATAATGATGATCGTTGCACAACAGTGTGAATGTACTTAATACCATTGAATTGTGTACTTAAAAATGGCTAAAATGGTAAACTTTGTGTTATGTATATTTTACCAAAATTTTTAAAAATTCAAGTAAACAGTACAAAACCGTAAGTACTCAAAATGCTCTTACTTGGTTTTCAAAGGAATGTAGATTATGCAGCACCTATGAATTAGTAAAGAAAAAATGAGCTAGATTGTAAGGAAAAAATAATAAACTCCATCACTAGGCATAGAGCAAAACATGAATTGAAACAATCTTTGGAAAGCCATGTGGCGACGATTATTAAGATTCATAAAAATGTTCTGACCTCTTGGCCCAGTAATCCTACACCAGGGAATTTATCCTCAGGAAATAATCCAGTGGAAGAAATAAATCTCTGTGCAACTTGAATAGTAAGTAGAGTAAGTGGGTCACCCAGGGTGGGTGGGCTGTTCTGCTTTATTTCTGTGAACTCATTCACTTTTCCAGCTTTTTTTTTTTTTTTAATTCCTTAAATAAGTAAAAAAAGTCCCTGCTTCACAAAGCCCCAGGGCCCACTGTTATTTGTCTAGTGCTTACTCTGTGCCAGGTACTTGGGCCAAGCCCTTTATATGCAATACCTCATTACCTTCTCGTCGGTACTGATATTCAATAAGTTCAAGGATATGAAAGAGGTGAGTCCAGAGCAGCATGTTCAATTGTAAAGGAGCAGAGGTTCCCTGGGGCCCTGGCGAGGAGTCAGGTGCCTGCTGGAAGGGGAGACGACGTGTGGTAAGGGCCCTGAACTATGCGTGCAGAGGCCTGGCTTTGGCTCCCAGTACTTTGTACTCAGACTGAGTGGCGCTGAGCAAGCCCCCTCCGTGAACTGGGGACAAGGATGCCTCTAACCAGTTGCTGTCAAGTCAACTCTGACTCATAGCGAGCCCATGTGTGTCAGAGTAAAACTCCATAGGGTTTTCAGTGGCTCACCTGGCCGGGGTGCAGCAGGGCAGCTAGCCCATAGTGAGTGTAGGCCCAGAGGCCCAGGGCTATCTGTCAATTTATTTGTTCCCTGAAGACCCCTAGAAACTTCATCCCCAGTAGTATACCCTGAGGAGTCACTCTTAGAAGCCCCCAGGATGGCAGTGGCTCTGTCTTTGGGCACCAGTGCCTTTATATTTTAAAGGACCATGCACTGCAAAGGACCTTGGGACTGGCATAGACAGGTCCCCACCCCACCCCCCCCCACCCCCCAGCAGTTGTGGCACCCCCTGACAGTGGGTAGAGGGACTGCCTGCCACAGGTTATTTCCCACTGGGAGGTATTTGGTATCCCTTCCCGCATCACAGGCTACCTTATAAAAGGATGGGGAAAATGCTTCATACTTAGCATCCTGGACATTTGCCTTTTTGCTCCCGGATACATTCCCCGCCCTTCCCCTGCTCTGCTCTGTATTAGAGAAGTGCAACTCCTGAAAACTACATTTCCCAGGTTCCCTTGCAACCAGCTTCCTGCTAGGTGTGACCATTGGGAAGCACTGGTGGGAGATTAAACCCAAAACCTCTTGCCCAGTCGATTCTGACGCCTCGCGATCCTATAGGACAGAATAGAACTGCACCGTAGGGTTTCCAAGGGGTGGCTTGTGGATTTGAACTGCTGACCTTTTGCTAAGCAGCCGAACGGTTAACCACTGTGTCACCAGGGCTCCGGTAGGAGATTGGAGGGGCATAAAGGGAGAAGCCAGGGCATTCCTTCGTATCTGTCTGCACCGCAGGCAATGGCTGCATCTTCTCCAAGGTGCTCCTCAACCTGTGATCCTAACTCGCACCGGGCAGCCCTTCTGTGGTACCTGCTCCTACAGGTGGCTCTGGACTCTGGTAACACCAACTCTTCTCTTTGTCCCTCCAGCCAGCGGCTTCCTGCTGTTGTTTGTTGCTCATCTCAGGGTTGCCTCTGATTGCCGTGTGGCTCTCCAATTCTTCCAACACCATTGTAATTAGTTTCCCATAGTAAATTTCCTCTTCTGAGCTCCTTAGCTTGGGCTCTGTTTTCCTGACAGATACACGCAGTTTCTCTGGTTGCTTTTTACACTATTTTCTCCAGAAAGAACAGTGGGCAAGACAGCAAGGGGAGTTTTCCAAGCCCAGAGCCAGAACTGATTCTGGCAGTTAGGAGCTGTGTGACCTTGGAAAAGTGAGATGACTTCTCTGAGCCTGTTTTCTTAACCGTAAAATGGGGTTAATAAAAATGCACCGGTGGACATATTGCTTGATGTTTCCCCTGGGGCCTGGGGATGAGTGGAAGGGCCTCCAGACTTGGGTAGAGAGCAGAGACAATGTCACCAGCAGGACTGGTGCAAAGGTCTTCACCTGGCACTGCAGCACAGCCTCGCTAGAAAGGGCCTCAGGACTTGTCTGCTGGGGTGTGTGTGAGGACAGACGTTCCCTGACACTGCCTGCCTCTGCCAAGCCTGTAGGTGGACCCAGGCCCAGCACTTAGAATTTCTGGAGCCTCATCCTTCCCAGGGCGCAGGTGTCTGGTTAGAGCGCTGCGAAAGGGCTGAGGCATTCAGCTCTGAGCAGACCTGCATCCCGACAGGACATTGGTGGTGGCTGCGCTGGGAGCAGTGGATCCTCCCCACCCTCTGCCCCCACAGACCTCTTCCCTGGGCCTCCCACAGCCCCCACTGTAGCCCTGAATTCTCCCCATGAACACAGATGACTTCAGACAAAGTCTAAGACAGAGGGCAACTGAGCCTGGGCAAGACAGCGTGGGGGTGGTGGCGTGGGCATGCGACACAGGGTGAGCCCCAGACCCTCACCCAGAGCTGGCCAGAGGCAGCCATAACCCATGGGCCTGGATCAGAGGAGGGGAACCAGTAGCATCTGTTGAATATACAAGTGCTTGAACATGCAGTTCATGTGCACACTTACCTACACGGATATAACCCAGGTATAGAGTTGGATGTCTGCTACAATAATTTATATAACAAACTTCCCAAATGTCTGTGGCTTATAGCAACTGTTTTTCTTACTCATGGGTCTGTGGGTTGGCTGGGGTGGCTCTGCTTCAGTCTGCGACTCTAAGGGTGGGCCGGGCTGGGCTCCAGGCTATGATTGGCTCCGGCTCTATTCCATGTGCCCTTAATTGGGGAACCAGGCTGCAGGGGCAATGGCTGTCTGGGACAAGCTCTTCTCTTGGCAAACTGGCAGGAGTGTGAGCAGGCAAGCCAATCCAGCAAGCACATTTAAAGCCTCTGTTCACGTCATATCCACTAACTTTCCACTGGTCAAAACAGTCTCGTGGCCAAGCTGCACATCAGTCGGGCAGGGAAGTATCTGCCGACTCTAGTGGGAGGGACTGCAAAGTCACAGGACAAAGCATACATCTGTTAATGGGAAGCAAGTGAAGAATTCGGGATGCCTTCCAGCCAACCCTCCCAGAACAAAGGCCACACACACTGGGCATGCATTTGTGGTTCTTTTGTGCTCACAGACATATAACTGGTCCTTGTGCACTGATGAAATGTGACCGTACCAGTGTCTTAACCTCTCTGTGCTTCCCTTTCCTCAGCAGCAAAATGGGCATAATAATAATTTACTCAGAAGAGTGTATTGGATTTTTTAGACATAATATATGTCAAATGCTCGAACAGTTCTTGCTATATATTGAGCACTCAGTAAAAGTAATCTGCTGTGACAATGATGATGATGAAGCCAAGCATCCAATTATAACCCCTATTTCTCAAGTGCCTCCCATCCACAATCACACCAACATAGACACGTAGCCACATAAACACACCTGCAATTATGTACGCACCCCAGAGGTTACAAACTGGTGGCCCACTGCCTGAATCTGCCTATACACGTTTTGCTTGACTTGTACAAAATTTTAAAACTTGAGACATTTCACATTAAAATCAAAATGTATTGAAATAATTGGATCTGCCAACACTGAACCCAGGCCCTGAGGGGTAACCATTGATTGGAGCCATTTGGGGAGGAAAATGGACAGAGGGGCGTCCAGAGGTGACCCTGGAGTTTCTGGCTTGAGAGGGGCTTGGCTGAAGGTGGTAGCATTGACTGAGATAAGAAATGCTGGGAAGAAGGCAGAGTGTTCGGAGGGTGCTGGACTCAGATTGGGATACATGAAGTTGGAGGTGCCTGAGAGTCATCCAGGAGAGATATCCTCCAAGAGTTTGCGCTTATGGATCTAAATTTAGGCAAGAAATCTGGGCTGGAGGTACCTTATGAGTTATCTGACAGATACTTAGGGAGTAGATAACATCTCCCAGAGAGAATTCAGGGGATGAAAATATAGAGAGGACTCAGGTGGAACCATGAAGAACCCCAACATCTCAGGGCTGACTAGAGGACTGGATGGCTGAGATGGAACAGCCGGAGAGGCAGAGGAAAGTGTCCCCAGGATCAGGAAGGGTGTCAAATGGGTCAGTGGCGGCAGGAAGACCCCAAAGTCCTGCAAATTAGATTTAGCAACAAGGAGGCCACTGAGGACTTTGTTGAGGGCAGTTTGGGAGCATGGTAGAAGCACAGGGGTAGGGTTATAGGGGATGGTGAGTGAGTGACTGGGAGGTGAAGAGGGGAGAAAGTGAATGTAGCAACTCTTCCAAGAAGATGGGCTGGGATGGATGAAGAGGAGAGAGTTGGCTAGGAACTGGGAATAGGACTGGGCTTAAAGTGTTTTCTTAAGACAAAAGAGGCCTCAGCATATTTAAATATTTATGGAAAATATCCAGTAGAGAAAGAAGTTAAGGACTCAGGAAAGAGAGGAGATAATGACCCTCATGGGGTGGGTTTCCCTGAAGGTAAGAGGAAGCCAAGCTGAGGTGCCTTAAAAAGGAGGAAGGACACTTGCTTCACTGTGATCAAAGAAGGGGGTCACCTAGCTAGTTAGTAGGCAAGATGGAGGTGGGACTCAGGCTGCCTGTTTTGCTCGTTTATTTATATGTTCAACAGATACTTACTGAGCATCTACCTTTTGCCAGGCACAGTTCTACCAACAGACAAAAATCACTGCTTACCTGCCAGTGGTAGGATACAGACAATACATCAAATAAATGAGGAAAATCTTATAGATTATTAGAAGGCACTATGTGTTATGTATGAATGAAAATAAAGCAGGAAAGGGGAATGAAGAGCACTCAATAAAAGTAAGCTGCTGCTGTTGTTGACATTATGATTGATTATTATTACAACATAACCAAGCATCCAATTATAACACGTACTCCTGAAATGCCTCCCATCCGCATTACAGGGTGTGGGTGGCAGTTTTAAATAAGATGATCAGAGTAGACCCCACTGAGAAGGTGACATTTGATCAAAAACTTGAAGGCAGTGATCAAGCGAGCCCTGCATGCAAATATCTGGGAAAAGCCTGTTGTAGGCAGAGACAAAAGCTAGTGCAAGTGTCCTGAGATGGGAGCATGTCCAGAGTGCTGGAGGAACACCAAGGGAGCAATGTGGCAGGAGCAGGGTTCGGTGGGGGGCAGTACCAGGAGATAAGATCCAGGGGTCACTGGGAACTCAATCGTGTAGGACTATGAAGCCCACAGTAAAGACTTCAGCTTTAACCAAGTAAAATGAAGAGCAGTGGAGGGTTTTGAGCAGAGGAGTGGCATGATCTGACTTGTATTTTAATAGGTCATTCTGGTTTCTGTGTTGAAAACAGACTAAAGTGGGGCTGAGGGAGGTGGAAAGCAGGTAGATGAGGTAGAAGGCTATTTCTATAACCCAGGCAAGAGATATGGATGGCTCTGTCCAAGGTGGTGGCAGAGAAGTTGGTGAGAGGTAACTAGTAGAGTCAACAGGATTCGCCAATGGCTTTGAGTGAATTATGAAAGATATCAAAGGTGACTGTAGGGTTTTTTACTTGAACAACTAGAAGGCTGAAGTTGCCATTTACTGAGGTAGGGAAGGCTGTGGGTGAAGCAGGTTTGGGGAGACACAAAGATGAGTTCAATTTGGACATGTTGAGCTTGATGTGTCTATCAGACGTCCACGTGGAGATGCCACCAACCTTACATTCAGTACTGGATCAATATAAATTTGGGATTCACTGACATCTAGAGGGTGTTTAAAGCCTGGATGAGATCATCAAGGGTGTGAGTGTAGACAGAGCAGAGAAAAGGTTCAAAGACTGAGCCTTGGGGCCCTCCAGTGCTAAAGGTCAGGGAGAAAAGGTGGAACCAGCAGAGGAGACAAAGAAGGACATGGCCGGTGAGGAGGAGGAAACCAGGAGGCTGTGCTGCCCTAGACGCCAAGAGAAGAGCTGTTTCTAGAATGAGGAGTGGTCAGCTGGGTCAAATGCTGCTGGTGTATCAAGGAAGATGAGAACTGAAAATTTACCCCTGGATTTAGCAACTTGTTGGTCGTTGCAATTTTGACAGTAGTGGCTGAGAGGCCGGTGGGCCTGGGGTGGCCCCTCTGAACGTTTCAAGACCTCCCTGCAGAGTAAATGGGGTGATGTTTGTGTGCTTGTGCCCGGCACACAAGTGGTGTGTTCTAAATGCTGAGGTGTCTGCTGGGCTGAGTGGTGAGGCTTCATCAGTGGCACAGAGGACTAGAAGGTCAGGCTTGGAGTGTCTGCATAGACCCCAGATCTACCCCCCTCACGCCCAGCATCCTGCCCAAACCCGTGAAAGATCAGGTGCCTCGGGGGCTGTTCATTCCCACCATCTCTCTAGATCTGTTCTCCTCTCAGCAGATGAGCCGACCTCCCCCAAGAAGCCAAAGAGTGTCCCTGAGCCAGAGCCCAGTGTTATGGAATGTGAAGCCACCTCTCCCCTGCCCTCCGAATGGACCTCAGTGAGGATCAGCCCTGGGGGGGACACGGTTGGGCAGGATGTGCTGGCTGTGCGTGTCCTGGTCACCAGTGATGACACCAGGTATGCTCAGACTGCTGGGGATGGTGGAGGGTGGCAGGGTTGCAGGGGTGGGATAACATTCAGGATGTGGCCTTCTCTCCACTCCCTCATAGCGTGACCTCTCTGTGCATCCATTTCCTTATCTGTAAAATGGGACAATAGTAGTATCTGTGTCACAGGGAGTTGGAAGGGTGAAAGAATTTATGTGTGTAACGTGTGCAGAACAATGCCTGGCATATCAAAAGCCCTGTAAGTGTCAGCAGTTGTTATTTCTCAGAGAAGGGAAAGGCTCCGGCCCCACTACCTTCTTCCCTGTCAACCAGGCTGCATGAGGGGTGCCTAGCAGGTGTCCCCTGTCACAGGGACAGGCTGTGTGGGACCCTCCCACTGTAACATGTGAGGCCTGATGATGGGAGGCTCAGCTGGGGAGGAACAGAGAAACGAAGTCCTGGTGGCTTAGTTCAGTAGTTCTCAGAGTGCTGTCCTTGCCACCTGCATCAGAATCCTGGAGTGGTCGTTAGAAATGCAGACTCTCAGCCTCCCCCAGACACACTGAATTCACTCAGGAAGTCAGTCAGCAAATAGGTATCGATTGCTTAGTATTTGCGAGGCTCTGAGGATACAGCAGTGGCCAAGACCAGACTAAGCCCTTGCTCTCACAGAACTTTGATTCCAGTAGGATAGATGGATGGATGGACAGACGGATGGACGGACGGACGGACAGACAGATAGCTGCCATTGAGTTAACTCTGACTCATGTTGACCTAATGTACAACAGAATGAAACAGTGCCCGGTCCTGTGTCATCCTCACAAGGAGGGACTCTTGCCCTCATTGGCCCTCTACTTTACCAAACATGATGCCTTCTCCAGCGATTGATCCCTCCTGATGATGTGTCTAAAACAAGCAAGTCAGACAATGTTCTGTTTTGATCCATAAGGATTTCACTGGCTAATTTCTGGAAGTAAATCACCAGGCCTTTCTTCCCAGTCTTTCTTAGTCTGGAAGCTCCACTGAAACTTGTCCACCATGGGACTCTACTGGTATTTGAAATACCAGTGGCATAGCTTCCAGCACTGCAGCAACATGCAAGCCACCACACTAAGATTAACTGATAGATGGTGGTCAGATAGGATAGCCACCCATTAAACAAGTAAAGTGTTAAAAAGAAAAAGCTCACGTATGTGCCAGGTAGAGAAATAAATATAGGTATATGATAGTGACTAGTCAGTTACTTTAGACTGGGTGGCCAGAAAAGTCCTCTCTATCCATTATATTGCTATGATAATGCTGAGTAACAAACAAGCCCCCAAAAGTTAGTGACTGAAAACAACCTCCATTTGTTATACTCCTGATTATTTGAGTCAGCAGTTTGAACAAGGCTCAGTTGGGTGGTTCTTATGGTCTCAGCCAGCTCCCTCATGTGTTTAGGGAATTAACAGGGGGCTCTTGGGCCAGGTGTCCTTCATCTCCCAATGGGCAGTCTCAGGCTGGTTCACATGATTCTAAGAGAAAGAGTGGAACATGCAACCTCTTGAGGCCTAGGCTTGGAACTGGCACAGTGTTATTTCCGCTGCATTCAGTTGGCCAAAGCAACTCACAGGGCCCCCTCAGTTCAAGGCGTGGGCCCAGAGGTTAATAACACAGTGGTTAAGAGCTACAGCTGCTAACCAAAAGGTCGGCAGTTCAAATCCACCAGCCACTCCTTGGAAACCCTATGGGACAGTTCTACTGTGTCTTTTAGGGTCACCCAGGATCCCGGGGTCTGCTAGAGGCAGTGACCAGCTAAATATGTGTGTATGTGTGTGTGTGTGCGTGTGCATGCGCGCATGCAGGGGGCTTCCAGGATTCCTCATGTCCCCTCTTTCTCCTTTCTTCTTCCAGCTCCGAAACAGAGTCTGAGTGTGGCAACGAGACCTCCTGTGTAGAGCCCTGCGAGGAGAGACCCCAGCAGCTGGAACCCTCACCCCTACCAAAGCCCCTCACCCGGCCCATCTCCCTGCATAAGGCCCTGACTAAGGCAGTCTCTCCACAGTGCCCTGACGAGTCCGAAGCTGTGCATGGTGAGCAGAGAGCCTACTTATGAGGGGAACAAGCTGACTGGATTCTGGGACATGGGGAGGGGAGCAAAGACCCCCCAGGGTCATTTTTTTTTTCATGGAGAGCCAAGTGACATGAAGTCTAGCCCTCAAGCTCGGAGATTGGGGGCTGGTACCCTTGGGGCTATGGTGTAGAAGTGAGGGGAGTGGACCCAGGCTGGCATCCTTCTCCATGAGAAACTTTGGAATCTCAAGGGGGAAGACAGCAGAGGTACCTGACTGGCTGTTGTTGTCACAGGCAGGCAGCGACAAGGGGTCCCAGGACCCTATGCCTAGAGCGGTCTCCCTCCTGCCTCCCCTGTGTGCACCTCCTGAGGGCCCAGCATCCTACAGCACTGAGAGAAGTGTGGTGGGCTCAGTAGCTGTGGGAGAACCTGCAACCCTGGGCAGCACGAGAGGTCTCTCTGGGGCCACCTGGGCACTTGTCGTCTGGGGCAGCTCGGGGGCACTGACCAGGTACTTGAGGCTCATGGGATGCACTGAAATTTTACCTTATTGTTGTTGTTGGTTGCCATCCAGTTGATTCCAACTCACAGTGGTGACCCATGTGTGCAGACTAGACCTGCTCCATAGGGTTTTCAAGACTGTGACCTTACGGAAGCAGATCACCAGGCCTGTCTTCCAAGGTGCCTCTGGGTGGGTTCAAATTGCCAGCCTTTCAGCTAGTAGTCAAATGCTTAACCGCTTGCGTCACCCAGGGACTTCTGAAATTTTAACTACATAGTAATAAATGCACTTTTATTGAATACCCGTAATGGGCCAGGCCTTTTTACATACTGTGTTCTGTTGAGTTGATTCCAACTCATATCGACCATGTAGGACAGAATAGAACCTCCTCACAGGTTTCCTAGGCTGTAATCTTTATGGAAGCAGATAACTAGGTCTTTTCTCCTGCAAAGCCGCTGGCGGGTTCAAACTACTGACCTTTCAGTTAACAGCTGAGTGCTTAACTGTTGTGCCACCAGGGCTCCTCCTTTTCACATACATGGTCCCATTTAATACCCAAGACAACCCTATGAGGTAAGTAGTATTAATCCCCTTTTACAGTCGGGCAAAGAGACCAGGTGCTTCTCCAAGGTCTCACAGCTAGTAAGCAAAGTGACCCAGTGCTGGGTGACCCCAAACCATAAACTCTGGACTACTTAGAAGTAGTTGTCTTTAGCACAGCTTGTTTTGACAGAAGTGGCCTTGATTTGAGCATTTTGTTTCAGTGAACAGCAACTTGTGACTAAATCATCTGACTTCAGGGTGGGAAGAAACAGGCTAACAGGCTTGTCATCATCGGGACCGATAGCCTTAGCTGCCCTCTGTGAGAGCTGGAGCGCAACTTGTCCTGCACTGCCCTCTGGTGGTCAAACACAGACTTTCCACCTGGCTCTTGACTCAGTTCTCAGATTTGGTGATGGTTTTGCAGGAAGACAGGCCTGGGAAAGGAAAGAACTCGTATGTTGTTATTTTTCTTGGTTGCTGTCGATTTAGCTCCAACTCATGGGACCTGTGTATAACAGAACAAAACATTGCCCGGCCCTGTGCCATCTTCATGGCCATTGGTATGTTTGAGTTCATTGTTGAGGCTATTGTGTCAGTCCATCTCATTGAGGGCTTCCTTTGTTTTCACTGACCATCTGCTTTACCAAATGTCATGGTTTGAATTATGTCCCCCCAAAAATGTGTGTATCAATTTGGCTAGGCCATGATTCCTGGTACTGTGTGATTTTTCTGTATGTTGTAAACCTGCCTCTATGATGTTAATAAGGGAGGATGGATGGCAGTTGTGTTAGTAAGGCAGGACCTGATCTACAAGACTGGATTGTGTCCTGAGGCAATATCTTGAGATATAAAAGGCAGAAGTGAGCAGTGAGACAGGGGACCTCATACCATCAAGAAAGCAGTGCCGGGAGCAGAGCGCGTCCTTTGGACCGGAGTCCCTGCACCAAGAAGCTCCTAGTCTGGGGGAATGCTGATGAGAAGGCCGAGAGAGAAAAAGCCTTCCCCTGAAGCTGACGCCCTGAATTTGGACTTTTAGCCTACTTTACTGCAAGGAAATAAACTTCTCTTTGTTAAAGCCATCCACTTGTGGTGTTTCTGTTGTAGCAGCACTAGGTGACTAAGACAGCAAACATGATGTCCTGTTCTAGCAGTGGGTCTCTCCTGATGATGTGTCCAAAGTAATGAGTCGAAGTCTTTCCATCCTTGCTTTTAAGGAGCCTTCGGGTGTTTTTAAATCCTGGAGACTCTGGATTTTACCCTCCCATGTGAACCTTTTTTAAAAAAAGGAAAGCTTATCATCAGAACATGTATGTTAAGTATCATTTGTGGGGTTGTCCAGAAAGGCTAGCATATGTGATGGACTGAGTGCTGGACTGCAGCCCAGCCGTCCCAGCCCTAATTACTGTTCGGTCTTGGTGTATCCTTCACCTCCCTGGGCTCCATTCACCTCCTCTATAAATACAAAGCCTGCCCTTCTTTTATCCCTCTCTCCACTTCTCCTTTCTCTCTCTCCTCAGTTGCCAAGGGATTGTAGACAGCTTACAGGTAAAACAAAACAGAATTGTATGTCTATATACATGAAAAGTAAAGCCTCAGTATCAGGATTAACCAAACTAGTTTAGGAGGTATAGACTATAGAGCGGTAGACCATAGTCCTAAATAATTGCGTTTGTTGAATAGCAAATTTGATTCTGAGTTCTCTGGCAGCCAGAGTGAAAAAAGAAACAGACGATTATTAATACTCTCATTGTTCCGGAGGGAAAAAAAAATATATATATATATATATATATAGAATATATATATATAGGTTTCTCAGAGCAGGCAAAACTTCTCCTGATGCTTAACTCTATAGAAAGTTTCCAGCTCACTTCAAATAGACAATATTAAGAGATTTATTAGATTATATCATAAACAGTGGTTCTCAGAAAATGCAGTCACGGTTTTCCTGAGGCTGTTTCATGTAGTATCCCTTGCTGGACGGTGAGGGCGTGGAAACGAGATATGACTCAGTGAGAGCCTTTCTCCCAGGAGCATGGGCTTGGGCTGTGAGAGCAGGGCAGCTGGCCAGGGTGTTTTGTTTTCTGACAGTCCAGCTTAATTGCAGGATAATATATAGAGTAGATAGAGAACTAGATAGATTGCACAACTTTCAGACAATCCTCTATTAATTTAGTCTTCTTCTATCAATGTTTTGATCACTGATAGGCAGACAAGGTTTTAAGGTTAAAATCACTTGGGATGGGTCAAGTACTGTGTTTTGTGTTGCTAGCTATGGGTAAGTTCATCAGTTTACCAAAAGATGAAGCGTTGACTTTGGTGAGTGGCATCCAGGGTCTCAAAAGCTTACAAGCGGCCATCTAAGATGCATCAATTGGTCCCATCCCACTTGGAGCAAAGGAGAAAGAAGAACACCAAAGACGTGAGGAAAATATTAGCCCAAGAGACTAAAGGACCCTGTAAACCAGAGATTCCACCAGCCTGAGACCAGAAGAACTAGATGATGCCCGGCTACCACCAATGACCACCCTGACAAGGAATGCAACAGAAGAGTCCAGACAGAGCAGGAGAAAAGTGTGGAGCAGAACTCAAATTCACATAAAAAGACCAGACTTAATGGTCTGACAGAAACTGGAGGAACCCCTGAAACTATGGCCCCTGGATACTCTGTTAACCCAGAACTGAAACCATTCCCAAAGCCCACTCTTCAGACAAAGATTAGACAGGACTCTAAAACAAAAAAATAATACACGTGAGGAGTGTACTTCTTAGTTCAGTCAGATACATGAGACCAAATGGGCAGCTGCTGTCTGGAGGCAGGAAGAGAAGGCAGGAAGGGACAGGAACTGGTTGAATGGACACAAGGAACCCAGGGTGGAAAGGAGGAATGTGCTGTCACACTGTGGGGATTGCAACTAATGTCACAAAACAATATGTGTACAAATTTTATATAAGAAATTAACTTGAGCTGTCAACTTTTACCTAAAGCAAAAAAAAAAGGTGAAGTGTTGATATCATGTTGTGGATATGGTGGAGCCTCATTAACTATGAGTCTCACCTGGATAACTGGCTCAAGGGTGGGCTGAAGGACCATCACCACGGATGGGACGAGGATATTGCTATAACAAGACCAGGATATTGCATTAAAAAGCCTTGTATGACTGCCTCTATTGAGTTCTCAAAGTTTATTGCCATAGAGCACGCCCAAGATGATGGGTCCAAAATATAATTTAAACCGTGTGTTATTGAGGTCATAGAAAATGCTCAGTAATGCTCCCCTAAAACATATAGTTCAGTGGTTCTTAAAATTTTTACTTCAAAGGCAGATTCCTAGGGTCCCACCTTCAGAGGCTGAGATTCAGTAGGTGTAGGGCAGACTAGGTATCTGCATTTTATGTAAGCACCCCAGGTGCTTCAGTGCAGGTGGTCCGCATCCTGCACATTGGGAATCACAGAAGAGCAACTTCCTGGACGAGCTACTTAGATTAGTGTAAAATGTTCCCCTAAGTAACGAATTGAATTGACCTAGTGCATTGGATTCTTGGACATAAACCAATTACTATTTGGAAAACAATCTTCCCCCAAATTGTTCTCATTTTTGAAGAATTTATACTTATCCTTTTTTTTCCCCTGGGAATCTTTTGATAACAGGACTGTCCAATGGTCTATGGTGATCTTTCCTAGTCTGTAATAAAATCGTATCTTTAGCACCATATGGCAAAAGACCCTCTTAACTGCTTTTGCGGCAGGTCTTGCACTAAGATCTCCAGAAGTGCCCCTAGAATATTAACATGCAAGCTCAAAAGAAGGGAACCAGCTCCACTTATGCTACTCAAAATTACTGAATCTAATTGTTACTACCTACCCTATTGTTCCTATTGTAGTTAAAATGTGTGCCCTATAAACACCAGTGACAGAAAATCTCTCATGAATTTTAGCCTTTTCTAACAGATTCCCTCCCACAAAGTGAAAGGCTGAGAAGAAGCAATAAGAGCATTAAGCAATCTTATATTTTTCTCGAGAAATTTCTCCATGAGATGATCGAGAAGGTAGCTTTGGTAGAAGGATGTAACTGTGCTTGAGACCCACTTACTCCTTTTGCAAAACATGCAACCTGGACAACCCCGATCGGGGCTTTATAGGGAGGCAGTGGACGTACGGTATGGGTAGAATGTTCAGCCAAGAGGATTCTTATAATGGGGAGATGGGGAGACTATGCTCTGTGCCCATCCACCCAGGCTCCTCCTCAAACTCATGGAGCTGATTAGGAGAGCAGGCTTGTGGAATCGGGGACCCGCCACACAAAGCAGGCATGAAGCATCTACAAATGCAGCAAGTGAGAGGAAGGAGTCAAGGGTCTGAGAAGCTGAAAGGAAGCCCCCAGGTAGTGGTTGATGCCTGTGCTTCCACAGCCTGGCTGATGAGAGCTGATGCCCCAACTCTGAGAACTCTTGGGGAGTGAAATATTCATGACTGTTTCTACAGAGAGAGAGGGCTGGACCTTGGATTTAGATAGTCCTGTAGGAAACCCTGGTGGCTTAGTGGTTGAGAGCTATGGCTGCTAACCAAAAAGGTCAGCAGTTCAAATCCACCAGGTGCTCCTTGGAAACCCTATGGGGCAGTTCTACTCTGTCCTACAGGGTCGCTATGAGTTGGAATCAACTCAATGGCAATGGGTTTGGTTTGGTTTTTTTTTTTTTTTTTTTTGGTAGGTGGTACAGTGGTTAAGCAGTCAGCTGCTAATGGAAAGGTCAGTGGTTCAAACCCACCAGCTGTTCTGTGGGAGGAAGATGTGGTAGTCTGCTTCTGTAAAGATTTACAGCCTTGGAAACCCTATGGGGCAGTTTTACTCTGTCCTACAGGGTTGCTATGAGTCAGAATCGACTCAATGGCAATGGATTGAGTACTTAAACCTTAAGGAGCCTTGGTGGTGGAGTGGTTAAATATTTGGCTGCTAACAAAAAGGTTGGCAGTTTGAACCCCTAGCCAATCTACTGGAGAAGGATGTGGCAGCCTGCTTCCATAAAGATTTACAGCCTTGGAAACCCCATGGGGCGATTCTACTCTGTCCTATAGGGTCACTACAAGTCAGAATCGACCTGACGGCAACAGGTTTTGTTTTTGGTGCTAAAACCTTGGAGTCTGTAGGTGGTGCAAAGGTTTAACACTTGGGGCCACCGTGAGTCAGGGTCCATTCCAAGCCTGGTACCGAGGTTGTATGGTACTCACACCTTTCCCTGCTCTCACTCTCCCACACCCAAATCACTCCCATGGGCTTTCTTTCCCTTCATGCCTCCTGGTCCACCCCCATGTGAGCATTCAATGTGCAGAGGGCCCCTCACCCCACTCTTTCTCTCTGGCTGTGATAGAACTTCAGAAACCTTGGAACCTGAGACCAAAATCTGAGGGCCCTGCATGGGAACTGGGTACACTTGGGTCTCACTGCCCACTCTCACTCCCTAAATGGCCAACACCCATTTTCTGAATGTGATGTTAATTTTGCTCAGCTAATCCAAGGACCGACTGGGGCAGAAGGTCTTCAGTCTGCAGTACACAGTGTCCTATAAATCTGTTTCCATTGGAGACAGACCAAGAGGAAGGGCTGTGGCAATAGATTTCCAGAAGTTCAGTTGAAAGTGGTTTCCAAAGGGTTTGGGCGGCTCTGCGAGGGAAGGGGAAGCAGAGAGTAACACTTTCTGCAGCCTCCCTGCTTCAGTTAGAGAAACCCTGGTTTTTATCTATTATGTATACCGGCCATTGATGTGAGAGCTCAGCTTTCAAGAACTGTTCTGCTAACAAAAAAAATACAAAAAATATTTGCATATATGTTAAAATCAACTTGACAGCAATGGAATATATGCTAATTAGTGACAACCGAGTTAGGATGATGGCACATAATTTGAGGCATTTTCTGAAAGAAGACAGTACCTGTCCCATAGCAGCTTCTCAATAAATATTTGATGAATGAATGAATGAAAATTTGGAGGTGTGTGATGTGGGGACAGAGAGTTGGGGTTTGAAGGAAGGAGGTGGCTCAGTCAGTTATAATCATTGGTCTATTAAGTTTGTTAAATGAGCCATAGGAGAAAAATCCCTATTTGTTCTACACATTTAATGGACTCTTACTCTCTCTCCATCAACCCTGCCCATTTCTTTCTTTGGCCACAGCTCTGAAACAGGCCAATAGCTTCCAGTCTCCAACTCTAAGCAAGTACACGAACTGGAGAAGAAAATTCCAGTCAAGTGAGTCATGAGCTCTCTGGGGGTGGGAGTAGGGGTGGGTAGGAGCTCTCTGGTTAATTCTCAGGGGATGCTGTTTGTGTTCCTTACATGGTGTCTTCCCTGACGAGGCCTCTTGGATGTGAAGAAAGTGCAAGAAAAGATATATAGAGCTGACTTTATTTCCATTGGTGACTATCGAAAGCATTTTCCAAGGAACGCTTACTTCCCCTCCTCCCCCAAGTCTGGAATCATAAAAAAAAAAAAAAAAAAAAAACCATTGACGTAGAGTTGATTCTGACCCATAGCAACCCTAGAGGATAGAGTAGAACTGCCCCATAGAGTTTCCAAGGAGCGGCTGGTGGATTTCAACTGCCAACCTTCTGTATTACTTCACCACTGCACCAATGGCTCCATGGACCTTAGAATTCTACAGTTTCACCTGCAAGGGGCCTTAGCAATCATCTGCTCCAAGCTGTTTGAAGCATGGATGAAGAAACTGAGGCTCAGGGCTCTATATGTTTTGAGTCAAGACATTGGAGTTGGGCAGGAGGCATAGGCTTGATGGCCTCATGCAATTGTGAGCAAACAATAAAGAAAGAATACCCTCCCCCCACCGCCAACACTCCTTGCCCCTTTTTCTGACCAGGCCTTGGTCACAGCATCCTGGAGAAACTGGCTGGGTGAGGACCAAGGCCTGCCGTGGGTGCCATAGCAGCAGGCCTCCACTAGGGGGCGCAGTGACCACGCTCACAGTTGCACAGGCAGTGAACAGAGATTCCCTCCCTGGGCCCTGAGAAAAGGGCAGGATACTCCATCCGATGCCAAGTCCTTCACTGCCCTCCATTTCCTCCCATACCTACGCTTCCTCTCGCAGCCCCCTCTCTACATGCCCCTCTGTCTCCACTCTCTCGAAGGCCTTGGGTTAGACAGGGGTTTCTACCAAGAAACATTTTTGCAGGTGGAACAAAGCCCTTGTTTTCCTCCCTTCTGAGGCAATACTGACTCCTGGGCCAGGGCCCCAAGGCCAGTGATTCGCCCTCCCAGCACCCCCCAGGCAATGGCCCTCTCACCCCGGCTCAGGTTAGGACGATGGGCACCTGTGGGGCTGGGGCCAGGCTACTCAGCTGGGCAGGCCGCTTCGTCTGGGGACAACCTAAAATGACTCCCGAATCATCTTAAAGTCCCCAGGCAGTGGAGAGTGAGGGGAAGGAGGGAATTAGCATGTGTAGAGTTCCTGGCCCAGGCCTTCTCCATGTGCCACTGTCCCACTGCACCCCCACCCCAAGTTGCTGGAATCCTGTTTCCCTAGGCAGATCTAGTTGGATACAGATGCCCAGTCAATGCTTCCAGAAGGCTTTCCTGAGCACCACCTGTCCGAGGGCTCAGTCACGGCAGAGGGCAGGACAACTGGTAGGTGACCCTCACAGTGGGGTCAAAGGGGCGCAGGAGCACAAGGACTGTTAAACACCCCCACAGTTTCTAGAATGGGCCCTGCAGGCTCAGCTGTGTCCTTAGTCATCCCAGGAGTGTCAGGTGCTGGTAGAAGCTGGTTTGGGGACAAGGCCTTGAATTTGAATCACTTCCACGAGCCTAGTGCCTAGCGTGGAGTACCTGGGTGGTGCAGTGGTTAACAGGCTTGGCTGCTAACCGAAAGTTTGCAGGTTCGAGTCTACCCAGAGACACCTGGAAAAAGAGTTCTGGCAATCTACTTCTGAGAAATCAGCCATAGAAAACCCTATGGAGCACAGTTCTACTCCGACACACGTGGGCCCGTCATGAGTTACAGTCGACTTGATGGCAACTGGTAGTGCCTAACATGGGCCTGACTCTGAGGCAGCCCTGGTCTTTGCTGAATGAATGAAGAAAGAAAGGAAGGAACAAGCCTGCTGAAGAGAGCACAGGAATAAATGGAACAGTACGTGGGGTTTGGGCCCGGGCAGGCTGCCGCCCCTAGAGGGCGCCCCAAGACTTTGAGAAGGAATTGAGCTCCGCAGAGGCCCCCAAGTCCCAGGAAGCCTTAACCTCGAATCTCAGTCCCCGTAAAAATCCCCAGAGCTAAAAGCAACCAGAGCCATCTATTTGGTCATCTTCATTTTGCCCAAGAGGAAACCCAATGGGCAGGGCTGGCCCTGTAACAGGGCAGAACACAGAGAGCCATCACCTCTGTCCAGAGGCATTCACTGCCCTGTCAAGGCTGGGAGGGAGGCGGGGGCCGTGTGACTACCTTGGCACACTCCCCCCAGGTAACCATGGTCACCACAATGACCTCTAGGATGGAAGGGAAAGATCACCGTTACCAGAAGGCCCAAAGAAGAGGTAGCCCAGGCATTTGATACATAGCGGGAAATGGAAGCTTAAATCCACGCCCTGGTCTCTTATTAACCCCCTTCCACTCAGCAGGGAGGCCTTTTCTCATTTGACCCTAAGAGACAGCAACATCCAGTACTGAGACCCCTGCAGAGGACAGAGCAGCCCTGGCTGGGCCACACAAACATTTCAGGGAAATAGAGGACAAACAGAGGATCTGAGTTGGGGAAGGAGTTCCTGGGTGCAAGAGTTAGACCAATCCTGGCACCCTTCTGGAATGGGTGGTGTGCATCCCTCTGGAAAAGGTCAGTGATTCAGCAAGTCTTTACTGAACATCAGTTTTGTGTGTAACAGGAAGGGAAAGAAAAAGAGAGAACATTGCCATTGAGTTGATTCCGATTCATGGCAACCGTATGTATTACAGAGTAGAACTGCTCCATAGGGTTTTCTTGACCGCAATCTTTACAGAAGCAGATTGCCGGGCCTTTCTTCGAAGATGCCACTGGGTGGGTTTGAACCACCAACCTTTCAGTTAGGAGACGAGCACAAACCATTTGTACTACCAGGGCTGCCTGGAGGAAGACAAGGAGATAAAATTAATATTTAGCTAGCATGTTGCATTTACTTTGTGCCCGGCACTACCAGAACCTCTTTTTATCCCATTTTATTCCTGCAGCCACCCCCAGAATTACAATTCCCATTTTACAGATGAGGAAACTGAGGGGTTAGGTAACTTTCCCAGTGTCAGACACTGGAGTGAGTATGAAGGTGAGAGGATTCCAGACTCCCCTTTACCATCTTCTGAGGGAAACCAAAGACATAACCAGCCTCAGGCAGGTAAGATTCCCCATCATCTTTCAGCTCGGATCTGGCCTCACCTTCCCTCCTCAGACTGTGCCCACCTCCCATGCCATGGCTTGAGTAGCTGCCTAGGTACAGGGGGTTTGGCCTAGGTTGGTGTTTTGTTCCCACGTTTTCCCAAGCTCCCCCCAAGTTCTATCTCCATGACGGTGCATAACGACAAGTGTGGAGAAAGAGAGTCCCACTAGCTGTGGTAGGAGATGGGGGACTAGAGAAAGGAGAAGAGAGAGAACAGCTTCCAGATCATGACCTTGGAAACCCCAAGGATTTTCTATCAGGCTTGGTTCTGAAGGTGTTCCTGGCTCCATGTCAGGTTTCCTGACGCTCCTCAGTGGGAACAGAAAGGCAGTCTGTTGAGCTGAGGAGATCTTGAGGCAAGTTTAGGGATTTGATATGGGAGGTGGCAGAGAGAGGAGAGTGAGGGGGCGAGAAAGAGGAGGAGAAGGCATTTGGCAGGAATTTGGCAAGCTGAGGACAGGAAGCAAGGCAACAACTGACGCACGACTTTTGCCTTTTTAGGCTCAAACCATCTAATTGTAGGCTGAAATGCGTGTGCTAGTAACGGGGAGGCAGGCCAGCTGCCGCCCCCGCCCCAGCTCCTGGCAGCCCATGGCCTTTCTCCCCACCAGCTTCTTCCTGCCCACCCTCAGATCTGTTCACCTCAGTTACCTTTTCCATCTGAAGCATTTGAGGAGGGCTTCCCTTGAGGAGCTTGCCGACCACATGTGTTTCGTACCCATCTTTTCAGAACCTAAGACTGGGATATACTGTCTGATATGTCTGCATTTGTGTATGAGGGGAGCAGGACAGAATATTGAAAACCCACCAGTGCGATTCTCCTGTATAAACGGGTCTTGTTGGAACTCTTCTTGGCGTGGGCTTTAGGTTTGTCCTGGCCCGAGTGGGTCCCTGAGGAAGAGCTTCTCACCCAAAGCTTTGGAGAAACTGAGACCAGAGAGTTGTGTTAAGTTAAGAAGCAAGATAAAATCGGAAACCTGAATCTGGCCAGAAATCTGAATGGATTAACTGAGCAGCCAGAAGCAGATCCAGAGTCCGACAAGAGAGTGGGGTTGTTAGAAATAAGGTCTTGGACAGTTTCTAGGGAACATCCTTTATGCTCTGGGATGATTCATGGGTGAGCTGGCTGGGCTGCAAATCTAAAACAGTGCATGCCATTTTTCTGAATCCATTTGAGGACAAATTCTCTGAAATGGTCCAATATGGAGACAAAATCCTTGCGATTTTAGATGTAAGGTTACCATCCTAGGGAGTGAGTGTGTGTGTGAGTGTGTGTAAGACAGAGACAGAGAAAGACTGAATGAGATTGACTGGTTCTTATAGACTACAACTGTCAGGATTCTGCTGTAACTAGACTAATTGATTTTGGCTCCCCACAGTTAGGAATTAGACTCGTCCTCAGGACCCTAGCCACACTCCTTTCTCATGTTGCTCTGAGCATATACGCTGCATCCTGTTTGTTCCGGAGCTTGGCATGGACCCTGCTCCATGGTGCTTCAAATAATTTGATACTTATTGTAAACTCCCTCCCTCGTGCTCTCTTAAAATCTCAAACTAATCATCTTGTTTGAGAGCCCCTTGGTGCACATGTGAGAAGGAAGAGACCATTTCATTAGCAGTGAATGTCTATCCTGTCTGCACCCACAGCTAATGGTCCGGCGTCTTGTGGGAGGAGACCTCAGATGGCTTATTGACTAAGTGATTTAACACAGAGCTCCACTGTTTCTGCAGCCCCAGCCCCCAAACCACAGTGACTTTAATGGAAACTTTAGAGGTAGATGTCCATTTCCAAGGAACACTCTGGAGACTTCCTGATTCCATCTCTTGGGAACATTCTCGAATGAGTCTTAAACGCTGTGGTTCTTGAACTTTTCATCCTGGGACCTCCTTTCCCTCCACAAGGTCCTGCCATTCCTCCAAGTCCTAAGCCATGGGCACCTGGAACTTCCAAATCAGTCTCTGCTATTTCCCTCTCTCTGGCTCTGTTTAAAGGATTGGAGCTTCACTTAAAACCTCTTGTTTTATGATAGAATAAGTTAATAACAGCTCTGTAATGGAGAACGTGTTCTTTCCTTCTTAGATTTGACACCAGTGAACAACAAAAGAACTGTCTTACCTCCAGAGGAAACTTCTCTTTCTCCCTCTTCATTGTCATCTTCCTCATCATCTTCTGCTTCAGCCAGCATTGCAAGCAGTACTTCCAATGTTTCTTCCTCACCTCAGGTAAGTGGCACTAACGGCCCCACACAGTCACAGGAAGGGTGAGCTGCCTGTACTCTTCCTACCTTCCACACTGAACTCTGGATTCTAAGCTTTTGGGTCATCCCAAGTGCAAAGCCAGGGCCAGAGAGATGTTCTGTCAAGGTTCCACCCAGGACTTCTTCACTTGTGCTTTTGTGAAAGTTCATCCTGCTCCTTCTCAGCCCCTCCCAAGGGCACAGTCGCTCACTCACTCACTCGGCAAAGCTTATGGGATATTGACTCTGTGCCAGATACTGAGCTGGACCCTGGGATGCAGTGACGCTGGGACATATACTTTGCCCTTAAGGAACTCACACAGGGCATTGAGGAGCTCATTAGCTGAAGGATGGCAGGCACAGAGTGAGGGTGCCTTTGATAGCATCTGTAGAACCTTGGAAGCAATATCACCCTTGAATAGAAAATGACATCACTGAGATATACAAGGCTGGACTCATTCTTTCAATGTGTAATTATTCAGCTTCTATTGCCTGGCAAACCCTGCTCTTGGCTCTATAGAGTTCACAAGAGAGAAAAAGTTCATGTTCTTATTGAGTTCACATCCTAGTGATCTCTGTCTTAAGCACCAGAGCTCTTCACCGGGCACAGCCACTCTTCCTAGAGTCCAGCTATATTTTTTGTTCACACTGGAAGTGGCTACTTTCTCAGTGGTGCAAGGTGTAATTCAGGTGTGGCAGGGTATTGGAAGTCATAAAGGCCCCCCTTCTACCAACAACAGCTCTAGCCCTTAATAGTGTCCAAGCAAGAAGCCTTTGTGTCTTTGTTGTTGGAGGAATGTGTAGAAATTAATTGGGACTATGGCTAAGTAAGCTACAGGGGGTCTTGTTCTCCCCTTTGTGTCTGGTGACCCATGAAGGCTGCACCAGCCCTACCCACACAGGCCCGGGAACTTCTCAAGAGGAGGTTCAATGCTTCACCTTCCCTTCTGGCTTTCTACCCACCTAGCCCAGGACTTGGAAAAGCCTTTGATCAGTAATGATGTCAAGGCTCCAAGCTGATCCCAAGGCAGCCACTTAGAACAAAGAGTAGCTCTTTGAAATCATCCTAGACAGAATTCTTTTGGTATTTGAAATCTGAAGAGGGAGTTGTTAAGAGGAGAGGGTAAGGAAGGGGGATGTGAACTGAGATTTGCCTCCCCCATATAAATAATTATGGGTATTTTCAAATAACTGCTATTTTTGCCCATCTCCTCTAGGTAACAGCTTACAGCCGCCCCTCACAAGTCTCAAGAGATCATTTCAGTCCCTCCAGAACAGTCTTTTTGGGGCAAACCAGAGCCCAAGGAGCACCCAAGGAAATTCCCCTGGACCTGCCTCATCACGACGTCCTAGGGCAGGCAGAATACTGCCTCGTGAGTCCTGGTGAAGATGGCCTTACAAGCCCCAGGCCACACAGCCCTGGAATGATAGGTTCTGATGAGTGTCAAGAAGTGGAGGCTTCTTTTGGGGACTCTAGAAGCATCCAGAGAGGTCCACACCCCTTTGGAAGGAAGGACAGCTGTTTGACAGACCAACATCTAACTCTCAAGGCTGGAAAGGACACAAGAGAAAGGAGTACTGGACCCAGGAGAGGAGAGGGAGGGTCAGAGATGACAGAGGAGAAAAAGTCAGGCTTAAAGAAGTTAGTCCTCACCCAGGAGCAGAAGACCAAGTTCCTGGATTGGAGTGATGCTATCTCAGCAGGCTTGCAGTTTGACGTTGGGGAGCAACCTTCCCAGAAAAGTTCTGAGAATAATAGAGGAAATAGAGTCCTGAAACCAGTCTGCCCCTTGACACTTCCTCAGGCAACTAAAGAGACACTGTCATCACACAAAAGCACTCAGGAGAAGGTGGGGACCCTGGTTGAACAGGCTTCAGGAGAACCAAGTGTGTCTCCACCCAAGTCCCCCCTGTGGCTCATAGCAAATGCAATCCGAAGGTCCCTGGAGCCCCTCCTGCCCAACTCTGAAGGTGGGAAGAAGATCTGGGCTAAGCACAAATCAAAGATTTTGCCCACCAGCCAGCCACACACCTGTACTCGTTCATTCAGCTTGCGGAAAACCAATTACAATAAAGACTGGGACCAACAGTCCCAAGGGAGAGACATGACAAGAAGGGCCTCCTCCTTCTTCTCTCTGGGAGCCCTTACTGCCAAGGCTTCCCAGCCCTCAGACCTTAGCCCTCCTGACCCTGCCGTCTGCACCCATAGTTTGCCCAACCATTCAACCAAGATCTTTCCTGAGCCTGTGTCCCCACCCTGCAGCAAGATAGAAGACGTCCCCACCCTCCTAGAGAAAGTGAGTTTGCAAGAGACTTTGCCACATGCTTCTAGGGTACCAAACAGAAGACTCTCCCTCTTTTCCTCCCTGAGACTCAAAGACAAATCTTTGGAGAGTTTCCTCCAAGAATCCAAACAAAGAACAGACTTCAAGGACCTCCTTAGCAGCTGCAAGGGGAAGGTACTGCCTGTGGACAATGCCCACTCCCTGGAGAAGCTGGTGCAGCCTCTCAGTAACACATCCCTGGGGCAAGTGGGCCACCCTCCTCCTGCAGGAAACTCAAGTAAGTGGCTCTTTCCTAATAAAAGACTACAGTTCATGCTGGGCAGTTTGTTATCATCATTAGATTAATAAGCAGACATCTTCCACTTTGTTTTACTCGTTATTATCCTTAGAGACGGTTTAGTTCAACACTCACACAGTTTCTTTTTTGTTGCTGATGCTTGTTTGATTGCTTTAAACAAAATGTGATCCTACATTTAGTTTTCAAGTAAAAAAATTATTTTCCTTCTTTGGTACCTCAATCAAAAAGCTTTATTTCCACAAGTAGTTCATATTTTTTTGATGCTATATGTAAATGGCATTGTTCGTTTGTTTTTTTTTTTTCTCCCTGTTTGGAACGTTTTTATTTTCCCACACTTCATTCCTGTTTATGTAAAGCAGTGGGTTTGGAGAGTACAATATTTCGGGGGAAATTTTCCCCAGGAAATACATCACTGTGCCCAAAAGACTTTTCCAGGTCATTGAGGGAATGGGCTAGAAACCTGTATTTACTTACAGCAAAAGATTGACCAGAAGCCCCTTCTAAGACTTCCTGCTCCTTCTCTCCCACTTTTTTTTTTTTATTTCATTGTGGTAAAAATGTATATGACAGAAAATTGCCATTTTAAGTGTACAATTCAGTGACATTAATTCTATTGCCATGTGATACAACCATCACTGCTCTCACAACTAAAGTTTTCCATCACTCCAAACAGAAACTCAGTACCCCTTAAGCAATAGCTCACCATCCCCCCACCCCCATTCCTGTTAACCACTAATAAACTCTTGTCTCTATGCATTTGTCTATTCTAGACATTTCATATCAGTGAGATCATATAATGTTTATCCTTTTTTGTCTGACAAATATTGCGTTATAGCTGGAAGCAAAGAAAACTTTTGCCAATGACCACTACTATGTGGCAGATTCTGAGCTCTCAAATTACATACAATTAATCTCATGCTTACTGTAGGAGGTATATTCTCAATTCAGAAATGGGGAAATTGACACTCAGAAAAATCAAAATGACTTGTCAAATATCATTAGCAGTGAAGTAGTAATAATTTGTACACAGATTTGTCTCATCCTAAGTTTGCTGTTGTGTTGTTATTTTTGTTTATGGTAGTAGGTAAGAATGCATTTTGAAGGTAATTCAGGATTTTCTGTAAATCAATTTTCCTTTCTCTCTAATTTGCCTCTGTATGTTATGTATCATTTTTCTTTGTCTGATTTTAAGATTCTCTATACATCTCTGATTTTCAGCAATTTGATTATCATGAGTCTTGCTGTGATTTTGTTTATGCTTATCCTGCTTATGGTTTTTTGAGCTTTTTGGATTTATGAGTATATAGTTTCACTGGATTTGGATGATTGTCAGCAATTATTACTTCAACTACTTTTTCTTTTCCTGTCTTCCCCTATCTTTCTGGCACTTCAATCACATGTATTTAGACCACTTGATGTTGTCCCACAGGTCACTGAGGCTGCGTTAATTTTTTTCACTCTTTTTTCTTTCTATACTTCATTTTGGATAGTGCCTATTTTTGTTCTTTAATTTTATTGATTTTTTTTCCTTCTACATTGTTAAATCTGCTGATAAGCTGATCCAGTGCAATTTTCATTTCAGATATCATATTTTTCATCTTTATGAGTTCCATTTGGTTCTTTTTTATATCTCTTACTCTGTCCTTATTATGTTAATGTTTTCTTTTTAAATTCTTAAGCATATTTAGAAGAGCTATTTTTAAATCCTTATCTGCTAATCCTACTGTTTCTATCATTTCTGGATCTGTTTTTATTGACTGATTTTTCTCTTGATTACTAGACTCTGTTCTGCTTTTTTGCAAGTCAGGCTTAAAGATGTTAGTCTATTAATTATTTACTAACTGCTAGACTTGTGAACATTACATCTTAGAGTGTCTAGACTTTGTTTCTTCATTTAAATAATGTTTAAAAAGTGGCAAAGAATATTTGGCAGTCAGTAAAGTAACTTGCAGGTTACTTTGTTCCTTTCAAGGCTTGCTTTTATTCAGGTGGGTCTAGAACACCCTTTACTCTGGGGTTAATTTATCCCTACTACTGAAGTGTGACTCTTCTGTGCTCTTTCCCAGTGCCTCCAATGTTTATTTTACACTGATTGAATAGAACTTCAACATCTCCAAGTCCTGTAAAATCTTTGGAGATTATTTAGTCTACAACTCCCCAGCAGCTATTTGTCCATCATCAAGGAGTTTCATTCTATGGATAGTATAGTTTACTATTAAGAAATAGGCTCAAGGGGACTCCTATATGTATTTCTAGATTTCTTTTTCTGCATAGACTCATCCTCTTCTGCACTCTGCCACACAAATTCTAGCTGCCTCCCCAAACTCTGATCTCTATCTCCTTGACCCAGTGAATCTGCTGTGCTCTGATTGGGTTAGTCCTCCCTACACTGATCCGCAAAGTGCCTCTAGGCAGAAAGCTGGGGTGACTGTAGTGCTTACCTCATATGCTTTTGTTGTTTCCTTTATCACAGTTCTGCACTGCTTGTTGTCCAATATCTGGAAACAGCTGCTTCATATATTTTGTCCAGCTTTCTAGTTCTTTGCTTTGAGAGATAAATTCCAGTATCAGTCACCCCAGCATGGCCAGAGTAGAAGAACCCTGTGAAGTTTTTTTAAACTTTGCAAATGAAAAGTGGACTGTGGCTCATGGTTCCACAATGGAGAGGGTAAAGGGGAAGAAACTCAGAGACAACTATTTTAACCTCTTTCTTGCATGAAGTTTCAGAAGTACATTATATTTGGGAGCATTTTCTCCTCTATTTCAAAATAAAACTCAATGTAAATATTAGATTTGTTCTTGAGATCATTAGAAAAAGTATCAGCTTTAGATTATTATTCTATAAAATGGAGGTTAATTATGAAATTTTGCTAATAACTCTGCTTTCTGAAAAAAAGTTGCCATATCGTTAATTTGGATCAATGCTGATGATAAAGATGAAAATGATGGTGATAATGACAATAACATTTATTAAACACTTCCAGTATACCAGGCACTGTGCTAGGTACTTTACATTGATTATCTTTACCCTACCACAACAATTCTGCAAGGTAGAAATCATGATCCCCAGAAACTCAGGGAGGTAAAGTTAGTTCTTCAATCTTACGCGACTAAGAAATGAATACTCAGTGACTAAATTTTACCAGTTGCCGTCCAGTCAATTCCAACTCATGGTGATCCCTTAAGTGTTAGAGTAGAACTGTGCTCCATAGGATTTTCAATGACTGATTTTTTAGAAGTAGATCACTTGGCCTTTTTTCCTTATGAGCCTCTGTGTGGACTTGAACCTCCAAACTTTCAGTTAGCAGTTGAGTATGTTAACTCTTAGCACCACCCAGGGACTCTAGTGACTAAATTACTCAGTGGTAATTTAGTGACTGGAGCTGGGAAAACACTCTCAGCTTACCACTAACAAGATCTCCTCCCATTATTATGCTATTCTCTCGTCCTATCTTTACCTGAGCTTTTCCATCTGGCAAATTAAAGTGGAAAACGGTTAACTCCCTCTCCAGAGATGCTGTGTTATTATATAGATGTCTTGTGTTATTTTGCTTTGAATAACAACATATGTAAATGTGCTCTTGGAGGTTAAAATTACCCTTATTTTTTAAAACTTGGGCTCTTTCACTTGGGTAAATAGTTGAAAATTATGGAGAGGAGAAAACAGGTTGGAGAGAATTTTAGAATTGCTTCTTCTTCTGGCCTGCTTCACCCTCCATCCCACAACACATATTTCCATTCAGATATAAGCTTTCACGCAGAATAAAGATTGCTAAATTTCCTATCATGGAGTCCTAGCCCGTTCTGATTTTCAGTGTCCAGAGTGGGTTAATCCAGATATTAATCATTAACTCTGCATTGGGTTGATGTGTAGGGGCAGATGTTCTTGCTGAGACGAATAAAAGCCTCCTGTGGCCCCTGGAAGACCTTATCACACATGGTCCCCAGCCAATTCACAGAGAGGTTCTGGTTGACATGGGCACTGTGCTGGTTGGACCACCCGCCTCTCTTGTTCAGAGATTGGCATTTTCCCTCGACTCCAGTTCTCCCATGGGCCCTGCATTGTTGAGCCACCCCTATCTTAAACTGCCTTTCCTGGCATTTGAATCATCACTTCGATGATGTGATAATATCTGCAAGTTGGGAAAATAAAAGTGGCATTTGTTTAGCCATAATTAATGAAATATTTATGTTGCATGAGACTATGTGATAAAACCTTAGGCTTAAAGTCCTTTTGCTTCTGATTACATTTGGGATTTTTTTTCTATGACCAGACATTCTGACGCCAGCTCTTTTACACTGAGCAGATGTCATGTAGTAAAAATGGGTGCCAGATGCTGTGAGCCGCAGAAGGGCGATTTGTTTAAGAGCTGGCTCCGACTTTTTTGCATTCAATTACTCTGCAGAGCAAACCTTACACAAGCATTTAGGTAACTCAGCTAACTTCAGACATGCATTTTAATAATAGATTTCATCTCTGAATGCATTCTAAGCGACACACCATATAAATGGTGTTTAAGGAATTAATTGATTTCTGCATAATACCTTGTATTTTTTTTTTTTTTTTAATATGAAAAGAGAGCTGCAAAGCTCTTGGCAGGGACCCAGAAATGTAATTAACGTGGAGAGCCAAATTTCCAGTCGCCCTTAGGTACTGCTTTCTCATGCTCACGGCAGGTGCAGTGAGGGGTGGGCAGTGAGGAAGTGGGGGGGCAAGTGGGGAGCAGGGAGAGGCAGCTTTGGTTTATGAAGCAAGGAACGAAGCTAGCAGTTCAGTGAGTTCTTCTGTTCCCATTTCAGGGCCCAAGCACATCCCCAATCAAGCACAGGTGACAGAGACTGACTCCTCCCTCTCTTCCTCCACCTCCTCCTCTGCAGATGAAGAATTTGATCCCCAGCCTTCCTTGCAGTCAAAGGTAACAGCACTTGGCAAAGCAAAGAGGTCCTTGGCTTGAGGGGGCCATTCACTATCCAGATTTCAGACCCAATGTGGGCTCCAGCTGCGGTGGTTTCGTTAGGGGGATCACGTCTCATTGCATCTGACAACAGTCCTTCTTGTTATCTGGAACATCCCAAGCATTATCTATTTTTTCTTTAACTTTTAGAAGCTTGTCTTTCTAAGAGACTCAGATTGGGAAGAAAAAAAACTCAGACATATTCACTTGAAACCGTTTGGTGACTGCAGCTCTTAAAGTAGGTTTAATATGTAGTCCAAAGAGCAAACCATTGAAAAAATTATAACAAGCAGATGCATATTTCCCTGGGGGAAGCACAGCTTCATTTAAGAAGCACTAGAGACAGATTGCATGGAAAATGTTATGTTTATTCTAATCAGAACTGTTAAATGAACCATGCAGTTGCATCTACACATGGATACTTGGAGGGTCCTGACTGTGGGGACATCCCCAGCCATGGGGACCACAGTTCTCCTCTTTGCTTAGTGAACATTCATATTTCTGGAGAACACTTTACACAACTCTCATACCCATATATAAAAAAATACAAGCATAGTTATGTTTGTAAATGTGTCTGTATGTCACACGCACAGAGACACGCATCCCAAGACCGAGGCCCACTTGTATTTTCTTTCTCCACTGGGGCTGGAGTCTTGCACTGGAACTGAGGAGTAAATGGCTGGACCTGAAAGATTTCCCCCAGTGGACAGAGAAATGGTTCACTGCTCTGGCAATGTTTATTTGTTGGATCAATGAGGATCTGGGAAGGACCAGATTTATTTACATAGACTCAACTTTTCCATATCTGGCACTTGAAGCTTTGGCATCAAGTCACTCAAGGGTTCCCACTCCCCGTAGCCCAGCCTGGAGTAAGTCAGGAGAGGCTGGGACATGGCCTGAGTGTGTGTGTGTGAGAGAGAGAGGATTTAAAACCGTGTATGTGTATAAGAGAGAATACGTATAAATTTAAATTTCTAACTGTGGACATCTCTGATTAGTTCAATACTCAACACAAATGAATTCTTTGTGCTCTGTTGATTTCTGAGGTTTCCTTACTGGCCCTCTCATCCCCTCGAGTGGATGGCCCTTAATTAATGCTATATTCAAATGAAATAGGGGCCTCAGCCTCAGCTGTCTGGACACTCATGGAGAATGAAAGAATAGAGGGGCCCAGATACACTGTAGTAGCAAGACCGTGATATCCAGGGCCAACTTTGCAAATAGCTCCTCGTTCTCCTGCTGGCCCAGAACAGAGACAGGAACACTGGAGCCTTTGGGTGGTAAAGAAGGGCATTTCACCTGCTCCTGACCTGGCCCGCTCTTACAGGATGGGAAGCTGGCAAAAAGATTATTCTTTATGACTTCCCAAGGGCTCACACATAGGAACAAGGAGAGTTCTTTGTCCTCTGGTTTCTTTGTCTCTTCCATCCCATGCAGGTGTGTCCCCAGCTACCTGGCACAGAGCCCACGTCAGTTCAAATGAACCTTTGACCAGGAAATTGGAGCCAGGATATATCCTCTCTGCCTTTCCCTTTGCTTTGCCCCTCCCTGCCACTGCCTCTCTTCCCAAACCCACACCTGGATCAAAGAGATGGAGTCAGGCAGAAACAGACGGATTGTCCTTGGGGCCGCCAGATTTCTCCCTTGTCTTTACTTTAGCTTTTTCTTCCTTAGTCTTTAACCTCTTTCCTTCCCTGTCTGTATCGTCATCACCGTCATTGAGAATGTTAGAACTGTGCCAGGCACACCATAAATCATCCTTCTTTTCTATGTCAATACCTTTTAATAAAAGGCAATGTGTGGCTTTCTTTTCTGCTATAGATTCTGTTTTGCCAGCTTCTGCTGGAGCAGCCAAGTTTGACAGTTTTGCTGCTGGAAAGCGCTAAAACTGTGGGATGCTGTCAAGTACCCCCTACCTTTGAAATTGTATTAATGGTCTTTATTTGGGAAAAAACTTTGACATTGCTTTTCTATAGGACTCACTCTAGAGCAGGGGTCCTAGATATGCCTGAACAGTAGTCGGCACAAGGAAAGATGGCGTAGACTGGAATGAGAAGTGAATACTGGAGTCAGGCTACCCGGGATTAAATCCTGGTTCTGCCACTTACTAGCTATGCTTGTCTTGGGAAAATTGTTTAAGCTCTCTGAGCTTTGATTTACTTATCTGTAAAATGAATGTAATTGAGAAATAAATGAGATAGTGCATGTAAAGTCACAACATGTTGTTGTTAGGTTGATTTTCAACTCATAGCAACCCCCATGTGACGGAGTAAAACTGCCCCACAGGGTTGTCTATGTTGTAATTCTTACAGAAGCAGATCGCCAGGTCTTTCTTCCACAGAGCCATTGGGTGGGTTCGAACTGCCAACCTTTTCAGTTAGCAGCTGGGCACTTAACCATTGGGCCACCAGGGCTCTTTTAAAGTCATTGGCATGGTGTCTGACACATAGCACTCGATAAATGCTGGGACGTAGGTTGCTATAACAGAAGCTCAAGAGATATTTGTTAAATAGACTGACTGTTCATATAGATTGGGTTAGACTGTCTCTGAACAGCAGCTTTCTTTGATCTTCCCTTCCCAAACCCTTTCCCAAAAGGTCCTGACTCCCTAATTGTGGGGTCCCCCATCCAAAAAGCCTGGAGCTTCTGTTCAAATGGGTTGACAGTCAATCTAGAAGTCTTCCCCTAAAAAGAGAGATGATATGCTACAAAATAAGCTTGAGTTCTGAGACCCAAAATTTCCTCCCAAGGATGAAGAAGATTCTCAGGGCTCTAGACCTTAAGGAGAATTCTATTTAAAAAAAAAAAAAAAAAAAAAATCTCTCAAACGAATGTCTTCTCTGATGATCTGCAGAGTTTCTGAAGCCTCAGAACAGAATTTTTCCTAAGAGCTCTGATGGTCTCTCCACCCCTGTCCATGGCAAGGGTGACAGAATGACAAGGATTGGTAAAGCCCTGCAAACCACAGTGCTTTTAAGGCACAATCCCTGTTATGAGCCTGATCCCTCTAGTGTACCTGGGGTCCAGCCTATTATGTCTCTATTCTCTACTCGTAAATTTATGACCCTTTTAATTGGCAGACATTTCAGTTTAACCACAGGTATTGAATTCCCAGGCACCAGGCTAGCTGTAACTATTTTTTAAGTCCATATATGTTTCTACCTGTGTTAAAAGAAATCTCTAGCATGCTCTAATTCTCATCCTAATGTGTAGAAAATGGACATGTGCGCTCAGAGAAGGCAAACAAATAGTAAAACGAGCCCAGTCTGAACACATTTTACGTACAAGGCTTTATTTGAACCCCTGCTGAGAATTTGCATTTCTAACAAGTTCCCTGCTCAGAATTTGCATTTCCACCCCAGATATACTAAATCAGAATCTACAGTTTAACAAGCTCCCCAGGTGATTCTTGTATATAACTTTTTGGGGACTTGTTAGAAATGCAAATTCTCAGCAGGGGTTTGAACTTGTTCAAAGCCCTGTTTACATATAAACATATATGTATGTCTATTATAGGATCCCTGGTGGCACAGAGATTAAAAGCTCAGCTGCTAACCAAAAGATCAGCAGTTCGAATCCACCAGCCACTTCTTGGAAACCCTATGGGGTAGTTCTACTCTGTCCTGTAGAGTCGGAATTGATTCAGTGGCAACAGGTGTATACTTCTACACACACACACACACACACACACACACTCAAATATATGAGGAAAAGGTTTAGTAAAAAATGATAATAATCATGCTAACATTTACTGAGTATTTTTTCTATATCTCTTTCAAGCATTCTGTGAAGGGCTTGACCTGCATTGTCTCATTTAATCCTTGTTACATTTCTACAAGGGAGGCATTAAATCATTCTCATTGCTTCAAAGAATTCACTGAAGTTCAGTGAGTTGTGTGACATGCCAAAACCCGAGCAGCTCAGCTGGGCCCAGGGCTCAACCATGACTCTCCACAACTTCCCCAATCAAAAGGTTCCTGAACCTTCCACTATGTTGAACTGGCCACCCGATGACTTCTCCTTTCTCTGGTGCCTAAAATCTGGAAGTGACACCATCAAGATCTACACATTTATTTTATATGCATCTATTTTGAATGCTCTTTTTTTCTTTTCTACAAGTCCAGGCACACACAAAGTGACATTAATGCTATATTTGTACAAACAATGTGAAGTAGGGAAAGGAAGTAATCTTATGCCCACCTCAAGCCAAGAAACACTCGTAGTTTGTATTATTTAGATATGTTCCTCTATTCCAGGTCTATTAGGCAGTATAGACTCAACCTAAGGACTATGTAAGGTTGTTAACTGGGTTTTATGTGGTCTACTTGTATGGGTATATGCGTGTGTGTGTGTCCCAGACTCATCACCCCTGGACTTTATGGTAGCACCCATGTAAAGTGTAAGTCGTATATTATTCCTTCCTTCAACTAAATCAAGCCAGTGCTCTATAAATCCACTCTTGCCTACACACCTCCATATACACCACTTCACAAACATACCAGCTTCCCACTATAGTATCTACTAGCCATTGGTTGACATATGGCTAGACATAGGAGACTAGCCTGCTTGGGTCTCTTACCATTTTCCAATACGGTAGCTAGTAGCCACATGTGGCTATTTGAATTTACATTTAAATTAATTAAAATTAAATCAAACGTAAAATTCAATTTCTTATTCACACCACCTTCATTTCAAGCACCCAATAGCCACATGTGGCCAGTGACTTCCGTATTTCAGACAGTACATGTATTGACTATTTCTGTTATTGCGGGAAACGCTGTTGGGCAGCACCACTCTAGAAGCTAAGCAGTGGCTAGGAAGCACTGACGGAAGAGTACACAAGTCCATGACAGTTTTTGGTAAATTTCAACCTCATTTTTCTGATACATTTTTTTCTTTTTCTTCTCTGCTGATTTTCACAGGAGAGGAAGACACTTAGAAGACAAAAGAAACTGGAAAAAGCAACAAAGCAACTAATTAAGCAAGAAGAGTTGAAAAGACTTCATAAAGCTCAGGTCAGAAAACAAACTTGAGTCCAGTGAGTAGACCTGAGGTTTGGGATCCTGGAAATCTAGGTCTGAAAATGCTTTGCAAGTCTGTGTTGCAGGGGAGGAGGGATAGAACAAGGTCAGTCTAACTTCTCTGATGGGTCAGCTTTGTGGCCATACTGAAGTCCCCTGTACGATCACTGGTGGGACCCTGCGCCCAGGTGTTAAGCTGGCCCACTCCCAGCCACGTTTCCATCTGCAGATCTGTATCCTGCAAAGTAAGGCTGAAACAAGAACCAACGCAACGGCCTTGGGAATCATCCTGAGCCCTGGCTGCTGCGAAACAGTGACCCTAGTTTTGTCCTCTGTGAGGACACACCCCTTCTACCAACTTCCTGACAATGTCTTTGCTTAATGGACAAGTACGAGGGGCTTTACCCCAAGATTCATTTAAAACATAAGTATCCAGTATTCCAACATAGACAATATAGATTTTGAGAGCAAGCTCCATCTCCCTGAGGACACAAAACCAAGTCTTGAAGAAAAGTTGGGTTTAATGGCATAAGAACTTAGAATGACTACCCATATTAATCCAATGTGTACCCTGTATCCCTGTCTCCAGGTATTCCCTTTATCTAGCCCTGTAATCCTGTACATTGTTTCTGACAAGATGGAAGTCATTGAATCCAACCTCCTTTCCCCTTCATAGTAACTGACTTAACAGCCACCCTTTTCACCTAGTAGACAGGAAAATTCCCATAAACTCACCTCTGTCCACTCGCAATTTCCTAAAACAAGTTTCCATGAATCATTTCAACTTTTCCTTCTACAAACAAGATAAGTCTTTATGACACGTATTGGCAAACTCAGCAATGTCCTAGCCATGTATTTTCAATCCAAACAGTAGGTGGTGATCAGAGAAGAACCAAGATGGCCTTTTGAGTCCTAATCTGCTGGCCTTCATAATGGCCCTTATTAGTCTTTGAGATGACTTTCATCCTTGGTTTCTAAAGAATGACCACATAGCCGTAACTGCACAGTAATCAGTAATAAAGTCATTTAAATGTTTCCTTTTCTTTAGAAATTCTGCACATTGACAGCAAGAGATGAATTTGTAGATATTTAATTGTCTTCATAAGTGAGATAGAGAGGAAGAGGGCATGAAATTACAAGTGATTTAGATAGAATTCACATCTATTTCCGATTTCACATTTGGGGCTTAAACACTGTAAGCTAGGACAAGAGGAGCTGGGTGGCTGCTCAGATCCTGTCCCTGCTTGGATGTCTTCATAGGGTTGGAGGTTCTTCAGCTCTTGCACCCCTGAATCAAGGGGGACTTAGAAATGTGGAGTGAAGAAGGAAGAGCTGAAGTAAGGTAAAGGAGGAAGCACACGTATGTTCTGCATGCCCAAACAGCTGACAGTTCTTCTAATATACCTGTTCTGCCAGGTGCAGTGTTAGGGTGCCAAGAGATGTGCCTCTTGGCAGCATGGTGTTTGAAAGCAGAGAAAAAAAATGATGGAGATTGACAAAATTTATATAGGAAAGATTTTCCCCCTAATTTTCTTTACTAATATACACAAGAGAAGTAGCTAGTAGGAAAAATAAATGTATAAATGCAAACCAAGTCATGATCCTTAGTTCGGTGCCTGTGGTGAGTCTCAGGCAGGTGTGAGGTTGTCTCTTAATGGGCTAAATGGCTTGTGTCTTGTCTTAATAGCCTGCTAGTAACAAAGCCACAGTACCCTTCCACAGTAGAAGAACCCTGGGCATTAGCCCAGTGGTGCAGTGAAAGGATATGTAGAGTTTGTGGCTGTGGCGGAGCAAGATAGCCTGAGAAAGGAACACCAAGCCCCAGGAGTTGGCCCTGGGGCTCCTGCTCCAGACCAGCTTCTTGGAAGGTGTCTAGTGGTTCTTCTTGGGAAAATGGAATGGGAGTAGGCTCTGTGTTTGCCCCCAGAGCCCTTGCCCCACTCTGTGAGGTGGCTGCAGCTCCAGTTATTACATCATGACTGCAGTCAGAGGCTGTGGTCTCCAGAGTCTCGGAGCCATTAGGTACAGAAACCCTGAGGACTGCTCACCTAGCCCAGCATCTTCTGCCACGGAGGACTTCGGTGCAGTTGGCCTTGTCAACGGGGACTATGTTAACCTCTACCTGAGGGCGGATGAACATACACACAAATTCCTTGCTTTGCATTTCCATAGCAAAAAAGGAAAATGTCAAGATCTGGTTGTTTGGGAATTCAGAGGGCATTGCCTGGTTAACCAAGGAGGTAAAATGGCAATGGACAGGGCCGTTTCCCCTTGGAGAGTAAGTGGCAGAGTCGGCCCCCTCCTGTAACTCTGTACGTCAAGAGTCCCTATGTGACCTGTGATCCTGGTATTGCAGGCCATCCAGAGGCAACTGGAAGAGGTGGAGGAGCGGCAGAGGGCGTTCGAGATCCAGGGTGTGAGGCTGGAGAAAGCACTGAGAGGAGAAGCAGGTAGGCATCTGAGTGGACCAGAGCAGTGGGGATTGGGGCTGAATTCTGTGATATGATAGTACTGCAGAAGCCCTGGTGGCGCAGTGGTTCAGCACTCGGCTGCAAACCAAAAGGTTCACAGTTCAAACCCACCAGCTGCTACTCCAGGAGAAAGATGTGGCAGTCTGCTTCCATAAAGATTTACAGCCTTGGAAACCCTATGGGATAGTTCTCCTCTGTCCTGTAGGGTCACTGAGTTGGAATCGAGTCAACGGCAACAGGTTTGGTTTGGTTTTGGAATCATCTGGGAAAAATAATGAGACCTGTTACAGGTTATGGATCTGTCAGTGTGGACCAAAACCAAAACCCGTTGCCTTCAAGTCGATTCCAACTGATAGCGACCCTATAGGACAGAGTAGAACTGCCCCATAGTGTTTCCAAGGCTGTAAATCTTTACGGTTTCCAAGGAGCAGCCAGTGGATTTTAACTGCCAACCTTTTGGTTAGTAGTCGAGCTCTTAACCATTGCGCCACCAGGACATATGGTGCGAAATCCAGAACTGCTTCAGACTTTAAAAATCCAACTGGTGGATTTGAAATTCCCTGGGATATTGGTTGGTCTGTGGGTCTTGTAACTGAGTTTCTGATTTACCCTCCTCTCTTCTGCTAGTGTAAGTGTTCTTTGCAATTCAGGGATTAAGATAAATTCAGGAGAAATATTTGGGCATTCAAGCATGTTGGTAGTGATTCAAAGCCCACATTTAAAGTCCAAGTCCAAGTCCAAGCTGTGTGACCTAGGGCCAGTCACATTATAAACCTTTCTGAACTTTGGTTTTGTCATCCAAAACAGGGATGATACGTTGGCTACCTTGTAGCATTCATACAAGAATTAAAGAAGAAAAAAAACGCTTAAATTAGCACACTGCTTGGCATAAGGTAAAGCAGTAACTGGTAACTCTTCCATGATAGCTTCATATTCTTAGATTCAAACAGATCTATTTGATGAGGATCTGCTAAATGTAGAACTTTAAGACATTTGGTCTGTAATAATCAGTACAACACGGTTTCTGCCTGGAAGAGGCTTAGAGACCAGTGGTGGATACAGACATGTAAATGAATAAACCACATTACAGTGTAATGACAGTTGTGATGGGAGCTGATGCCACAGGTTCCTAACTGAGCTTGCAGGCAGGGGAGGGAGGAAAGTCAGGGTAGGCTTCCTGGAGGCAGTGACATATAAGCTGAAACCCAGAGGAAGAAGAGGAGCTAGCCAATGAATGATGAGGGCACAGCACCTGCAAAGGCCCAATGTGAAAAAACATGAAATGACTTTAAAAAATGAGGAGCCATCAAAGGGTTTTGAGGTGAGGAGTGACTTAAAGAAATCTATGTTTTTCTGAAACCCTCCTGCTGCAGTGTGACCAGAGAGCCCCTTAGAGTTTGCTGGGGGTGTTGTCTCTTTAGTTTTGTAATGTGAGGCCTTTAGCCTCCTGCATGTTTTTGAAATAAAATATGAAAAACCAAACAGTGAAAGCGCATATCTTTGTCTACAATAATGTAAATAACATGTTATTTATTAAATAGCATAGTGAAAGGCTAGGATTTAAATTATTTTAAAAGTTCATTTATTTGAGATCAGTCGTGATACCAGCAGTGGGAGATCTAGATTTTGCGAGGCCTGAAGCTCATACAAAGTCATGCATGCAAAATTGTGAGGGCTTTTCCCAGAGCCTTGCAAGGAACCCACACAAGTGAAGGACCCTGATTCACACTTCGTTGTTGTTGTTATTAGCTGCCTTTGAGTCAGCCCCCTACTCATGGCAACTCCACGGACAACAGGATTGGACCATTGTGATCCATAGGGTTTTTCATTGGCTGATTTTTCAGAAGTAGATCACCAGGACTTTCTTCCTAGTCCATCTTAGTCTGGAAGCTCCACTGAAACCTGTTCAGCATGGTAACAACACATAAGCCTCCACTGACAAATGGGTGGTGGCTGCACCTGAGGTGCATTGGCTGGGAATCAAACCCAGGTCTCTTGCGTGGAAGGTGAGAATTCTACCACTGAACCACCACTGCCCCCGCCCCATGCTTCACTAATCCATGGTTAGTTTGTCTCTGGATAGCAGGGGGAACGCTGGAGTCAGATGTCCCCCCTCTGTGCCTCAGTTTCTTTATTTGGAAAGTAGGAGTGATAATCATACCTGTTTTCTTAGATTTCTGGTGAGCTTGAGCTTGACTACAATAATCTACATGAAAGCCCTAGCACAGGGCCTGGCATGGAGTAGATGATCAATATGTATTTATTCCTTTTCTGACTGAAATACACTTTGTATTTCTTTGCAAAGCTAATGCAAATTCACTCACCAGAAGCAGGCTTCATTACAAAAATGATGACTGCTTCTTCCTGCTTGGAGTGAGAAGCAGTGCTCATCTCCACAGCTGCTGTTGGGACTTTGGGTAGAATGAACTGTCCTTGTTTGGTGTGCGGTCTTGTTCCCAATCAAGAAGGCCCAGGTCCTTGTCTTTTGAAATCCTCTGATTTCAAGGAGGGCTTTGGAAATGAAATGGATAAACCAGCAAATCTAGGGCATGTTTCAGTCTGCTGTTAGCGACACAGGGAAGCAGTGTGGCATAGTGGGAAAGGATGAGTTGTAGGCATTCAAGAGCCCTGCGTTCAAATTCCATTCTGCTGCATTTAGGCTGTGTGGTCCTGGGAAAATCACTTAACCTCTCTGGACCCAGATTTCTTATCTGTAAAATGGAGAGAGCAATCCCCACATTACCAGATTGTTTTGAGAATTAGTAATATTGATGGGCAAAGTGTCTACCAGAGTTTCCACAGCATTGTAGGCATTCAATAAATGCCATCTAATATTATTTTGCAAAATACTGTTAAGTACATACATTCACTTTTAAGGAATTAGCCCTCTAATCTTAACAGCTTGAAATTTAAATAATACAGACCAAATTTTTTAAGCTTGCTCTGGAAATCGCCCTCACTCCCAAATGTAAAGAAAGGGTATTTTGAGTTATCAGCTAAAGAAACCCAGCCAGCTTGTGGTTTCAAAGGTGGGCCAGCCCAACCAGAAGATGGATTCCATTCATTCCCTTTATATCCTTGGTAATTTAATTCCCTGCTAAGTTTATGGGCCTTGTTCTCCTTGATTGTCCTTGTGTGGGTGACAGATACAGATAAACAAGGGGCTGGAGACTGAAAGAGTCAAATCATGAAGAGTGGCCCCAAAGGAAAGCAAATGGAAGATCTGCAAACCAGGCAACAAAATTAATACACTCTAACTTGTAATAACATTTATGCAATAATAATATTCCTTTGCAGTTTAATATTCTATTCAGCCCCTTTAAGAGATTGCCCTGTTGCTTAATGAATGGCCGCTGTTTATTAGGTTAGGTTGTATTTGAGCTGGCCTGTGCTGCTCCAGTTCAAGTGATTTAATGGGAATTATTTAATAGGTATTATTAGGATAATTAGAAAATGATCACAGTTAGGCAATAATATTGAGCTATAAAGGTTGTGAATAACCAAATTTAGAGACAGGCCTGAAAACACGAGTAGTCTGCCACAGTTATGCAAGTCTCCTCTAATAATTATGTGAGCCAGGCTGAAAGGGTCTTTTGTTCCTGGGAGTTATTCATTAGGCAGGCATTGAATTAGAGGAACATGCGGGGGTGCGGGACGAAGGGCAATGATGGCTGATGAGCAAAAAGAGTCTTTGATGAGCTCCTAATTGTCGTGACAACAATTCCTGCTTTCTTTATTTCCAACAGTCAGAAATAAGCTCCGCAGCCCCCAGGAAGGGTTTTTCCCCACTTGTCAAGAAAAGGGGAACAAAGAAAAACAAGAATCCAACAAACCACCCCAGATGACAAATCATTATGTTTTGCAGGGGATGTGTGTGTGTTTGTGTGTGTGTGTGTGTGTGTGTGTGTCTGTATGTAGCATGGATGGATACCTTTGACAAAGGGAATGGACTCGCCTCATGGTCCTGGCTGCCCACAGTAAAGGACCAGGACACAAGGCAGCCTGACTTGTCCTGGGCCCACCTCGTCTGAGGAGGCCAAGCCTAGCTTTGCCAGCCACTTAGACTCTTCTGGGTCAAGGGACTTGTTACCCAGTGGTTTGTTGTTTGTCAATGTGGTGGTCAGTATTAGGTGCCAGGGCCATGGACTACCCTTCTCTGGCAGGAGAGCACCATTTACATTTAGATGGTCTGATGAATAGAATCTGGCCTTAGTCAGACGATGGGACTTTCTTTCAATATATGCAGACAGGTGAAATTGGATGAAACTGAGAGGGAGGAGAGAGGATTTGGAAGGTGAAAGGATTTGCCTCTGGAGGAGATGGATAGGAATTATTCCTCCCTTATAGCTGTACCAACTTCGAGGAAGATTTCCCAGCTGGTTGTTTGCCTTGAGCTTCTTGCCTTTTTTGGAACCAGACAGAGGGGTTTACAAAGAAAAATCAGGATGTGCAAGATTGCCAGCAGGTGGCACCAGGAGCACATGTTACGATAAGAGAAATTGCAGTGACCTAGCCAGGAAGAGGGAAGTAGTTTGGCTTGTACTCTGTGGTGTTTGTCATGATTGCTGCTGAAGAAGAGAGGGAAAAATAATGTCCTGAATAAAGTAACAGTGAGGTGTCCTGGAAAGAACATAGATATTAGAGTTAGACACTCCAAAGTTTGAATCCTGATGCTGTTATTATATGACAATTATTTCCTCTCTGCCAAAGTTTTCTCATTTGTAAAATGGAGCTAATAATGTCAGCCTCACAGGGATCGTATGAGATAATGTGTAAGTAAGCACCCTCCAAAAAAGTCCCTGGCACATAATAGTTATTGAAAATGTTAATTCCTTCTCTCTTCTTTTATATCTATCATAAAAGCTAGATAGTGGAATGATTTCTCGATTGTATTCATTTGTTTGTTCATTCATTTACATCCATTTATAACTCTACTTCCTAGCAGAAATTTAAACTGGTTTCTCTAAATATGTTTAATG